CCAGAGTGTTAGGATTACAGGCGTGAGCCACCGTGCCCGGCCTATAGTAGCCATCTTAATGAGTGCGCTAGCATTTGCTATTTGTGATAGAACTGGTGAAGGAAAGAAAATTTCAAAGTGTGAATCTTTCCATCCATCCATCCATCCATTCCAATTTCCTTATACTCTTTTATCCTTTCATATCACTAACCACCTACCCACCCACCAATTTATTCACACACCCATCTAATGATCTACTTACCCCCCTTTCCAACTGTCCTTCCCTTCACCTACCAAGCCCGTCACCCACCTTGCACTGGTCTGTCCACCTAATACTCAGGTACTAAGTATCTTTCATACACCAGGCACATTGCTAGATGCTGTGGGATGAATGAAACATAGGTCCTGCCACCTCCATCTTTGTAACAAGGGAAATAACTAATACCTAGAATATAAGGTAGAGAGTAACAAGTACCATGGGACCTGCAGCTCTCTGCTCTCTGGGCCTCAGTTTCCACATTTGAACAGTTTTTAGGAGAGGCTGGGCTTCGGGAGCCCTGGTCCAATGGCCTGTGATTTCCTGAGAAGGTTTTTTCTTGGCCGCTTCTTTCTTGATTCCTCGTCTTTCTTCTCTGTTTTGATCGCACTTTTGCTCCCTTGGGGAGAGCCCTGGGCTTCAGGCTGGGGTTTCTTTTCTGAGGGATAAGGTCAACTGAACGACACTTAAGGCTTGGCTTTTTTGCGGGATTGTTCTGAATATCATTTTATTTTTGTCCTGGTGACATACAGGTTTTAGTGACACCAAAAAACTGAGTAAGACTAGGGATGTGTGGATAGGACTTTGGCCCTAGATCCAGAGCTGGTTTAGAGGGAGGAAATAAAGGATCACGAGGAGGGGGTCATTTCTAGCTGGCTGGATGATGGTTCAGTGATGGTAGGCTGGGTGTGGTGGCTCACACCTGTAATCCCAGCACTTTGGGAGGCCAAGGCGGGAGGATTGCTTGAGGCCAAGAGTTCAAGACCAGCCTGGGCAACATATGGAGACTCTACCTCTACAAAACGTAAAAAAAATTAGCCAGGTATGGTGGCACATGCCTATAGTCCCAGCTACTCGGGAGTCAGAGGCCAAGGCAGGAGGATCGCCTGAGCCTGGGAGTTGGAGGCTGCAGTGAGCTATGACTGTGCCACTGGGTGACAGAGTGATAGTGTCTCTAAAAAAAAAAAAAAAGAAAAGATGCCTGGGTGAGATGAATGATGGCTGATGGTTGGATGATGGATAGGTGGATGGATGGGTGCTGGTTGGATGGGTGCTGATTCAATGATGGATGGGTGGATGATGGTGAATGATGGTGGACAGACAGATGGATAAGAACAGCCAGTAAACTCTCTCCATCACCAAGGTCTTAAAGCTTTCATCAATCGCCTTGGTTCACAGAGGGGGTATGTTGTAGTGGTGCAAGTTCAGTCCCTGGGGTCAGACACCTGTGTTTGGATCTTGGCTCTACAAATGACCACTTTGGACAAAGGACTTAACTTCTTTGAGCTGTAGTTTCGTCATTTGCAAAAGAAAGATGATACTACCCCCCCACCTCCTCCGAGCTAGGGTTAGAATTAAATGAGATAATGTGGATTAAGTACTTAGCACAGAGTCTGGTACATAGAAAACACTAAAAGTTAACTCTTTTGATCATTTAATCAGATGTCGAGTGAGGCCTGCTATGTGGTTAACAGACTATAAAAATGAGGATGCATTATTTCTTTTCTGTATCTTTTCAGAGTTAAAAGATAAAAATATAAAAATGTAAGAAAAAAATTTAAAAAATTAAAAAAATAAATTAAGAAAAGGAGGATGCAGAGCTACATCCAGAAATGCACGTGACAATATATTCTTTTGAGGAGCTGAGAGTCAAGCTAAGAGAGCATGTGGGTGGCCTCTGGGTGGATGGTCTGTGTGACCACCCAAAGAGCCCAGGAATGCTGACCTTTGCACTCTGAAGGGTTCCTTGTATTGTGTTCTCTGAGAAGGCCCCATATTTGGAATATTTCTGCCTACCAGACAGCACTTATTACATAATTGCCCCAGCACCAAATCAAGGGTAAAGGCAAGGTTTCCGTTGGGCCTTTTGAAACCTTCATTGTAGCTCGAGAGTCTCAGCCGCAGCCATCAGGAGACCCCGGGGTGGGGTTCCAGAGCTCCAGTGAGCGCAAACCTCCCTGTGGGCCTGTTAGATGCAGATTCCCAGGTTCCCTCTTAGTGCTTCTGGTTCAGGGGGTCTCCAGTGGGACCCCGAACTCACAGGCTTTTCCAGCCCCCAAGAGGCTGATGAAGGTGAACTGAGACCAGCTTTGGGAAATGCTGGTCAGGCTGGGACCATGCGAGTGAGGTCTTGGGCCCAATGTGGAACTAGAACAGAGAGGGGCTGGGGAGCGACAGAGGGCAGTGAGGGGCCCTCACCTCGCCCTGGAGAGCTGCCTGTACTCACAGGCCCCCAGCCCTGGAGCAGGGGTGGGTGTGCGGATGGGGGCTGGTAGGCAGGATCTGGGCACTTCAACCTGGGCGGGGAAGGCAAGATTAGGAGGGGCCAGGAGTGGGGCTGGAGGGGATTCTAAGCTAAAGAGGAAACTGAATCCGCTGGCCAAGTCCTGGAGCCTGAGAACAGCCTCATTAAAGAACAGCAAACACACAGCAGGGAGAGTTTCTGGATCTTGTCAACTCACTGCAAGATGAAAGTAAAAATTAAATTTTGTTTAGTTTTTTTCCTTCCAGGTTTAGATAATTTTGTAGAAGAGCGTTTGAGAGAGTTCTTAAGGGGCTAGGATTCATTCATTTGTTCGTTTGTTCAGGAAATGTTTGTTGAGTGGCTACTGCATCTGTTTTTGAGGCAGGGTCTTGCTCTGTTGCCCAGGCTCAAGTGCAGTGGCGTGATCATAGCTCACTGTAGACACGAACCCCTGGGTTCAACGGATCCTCCTGCCTCAGTCTCCTAAGGAGCTGGGACTGCAGGCATGTGCTACCACACCTAATTAAAAAATTTTTTTTGTGGAGACGAGGTCTCACTATGTTGCCCAGGCTGGTCTTGAACTCCTGGTGGCTATATTTATTTATTTATTATTTTATTTATTTATTTTTCCCTCCATCTCCCGCAAGGCTACTATATTTAGGTACTTGGAATACAGAGGAGAACAAAAGCAGTCCCTGCCCTCATGGTGCAATACTGGGGCTCCAACTGCAGCCTCTGGGAGGCTTTAGGGGACAGCCAGGTCCCCTAATACTATTTCTCTGGGCCATTGACTAAGGTAGCAGGGATCAGGGAGAAGAAGAGGAAATAAGCATGTATTAAAAATGCCTGCTGTATGCTCAATTGCTAATCCAGGCTCTTTAGAATAAAATATTAATAATGGTAATAATGATAGTGATAATAGTTAATGTTTATTGAGTCTCACTTTGTGCCAGGTTCTAGTCTAAGCACTTTGCAGGCATTAGCTCATTTACTCCTCACAACAAAACTATGAGAGGGGTCTAATTATTAGGCCCACTTAACAGATGAGGAAACTGAGGCTTAGAGAAACAGAATGATCTGCCCGCTGTCACACAGTGGTAACTGGCAAAGCCAGGACTCGAACCCAGCTCTGCCTGATTCCCAAATCGTGCACTTTCTCACTCCTGTGCCATGGGGCTTCACAGAGGTGGGAGTCTGGGCTGCCTGGATTGTGGGTTCACCTGATTTCACCCGGGGATAGGGCCTCAGTAACTACCCAGCTGCAGTGGGGAATCAGGAGCTCAAGGGAAAAAATATCTTGCCAGGGTCATATCGCAAAGTCACCACTGAGCAGGGTTAGAAGGCGAGCCCTGTGATATCCAGTCCAGAGCTAAAAAACATATGTCATCTTTTAGGGACGTGTGAGTATGTGTGTGTGAGAGAGAGAAAGAGAAAAGGAGGGAGACGGACAGACATACGTGTCACCACCGGTGCACATACACAGGGTGGGGTGGACTTATCCCAGGGATACTTCCAGGCCTGGCATCTCACACACTCCCTCTTTGGGCCACATGAGAAGACCCCCCCTTGTCACTTTATCACCAGCCCTCCTTTTGGACCCCAAATTGTGCCCAGGAAGTCCCTCAGATGTGTGGTAGTTTTTGTTCCTGGGAAAGGTGCCCAGAGAACCCGTGCTGAAGATCTTCCCTAGTCCCAAGGCTCCCGGTGGCATGTGGCTGTTCCCCAGACTCGGGTCCACCCTGCCGCAGACTCTCGAGGCACCCACAGGGGGTTTCCAGGGAAGTCTGCGTCCGGGCGACCTCACTGGAACGCAGGTGCGGCCGCCCAAGGTCATGCCTTTGAAGAGGAAGCACCGAGTGTCTGCACAAGTTCTGGTGTGTGGGGAATGTCAGCCCTGTGACTCTGCTGTCACACCTTGGCCATGTGACAAGGCTCTGTGTGTGTGTGTGTGACTGTGGGCAGCCGGGGAGCTCAGGAACCTGTGGGAGGGCTTAAGAGCAGGGGAAGGGAATCAATTTTCCCCGAGGGCCTGCTCTGGGGCTAGGAGTTTTTACAAATGTGACATGATTCGGATTCTCCTAATAACTACTATCCCCATTTTATAGGTGAGTCAACTGAGGTCAGAGAGGCTCATGCATGTCCCCAAGGTCACACAGCAAGCAAATGGCAGAGCCATGATTCAGATTCTTGGTCGTTGCGACTACACAGCAAGCAGGAACAGAATAGCTGTTGAGCACACGGGCATCACTTCAGACCCGAGTCCTGGCTTTGATACTGCTGAGGCCTTTGACCTTGGGCATGTTATGTAGCGTCTTCAAGCCTCAGTGTTCTCACCTATAAAATGGGTCGCAGTGTAACCACGTGGGTGGTGAACACTACATGAAATTATTAATGTAAACTTTCAGCCCAGCCTGGCACAAAGTTAAAGCCCCATACTGCCTGGCATTATTAGTTTATGTTACCTTTGCCTGCCCTGCCCACCCCTGGGCTCACCGCTTACTGCCTGGCTGTCCCCCGCAGACCATTACTGGGACTTCCACCCCCACCACATGCACAGCGAGTTCGAGAGCTTCCCTGAGAACCACTTCACGGAGCTGCAGAGCGTGCAGCCCCCCCAGCTGCAGCAGCTCTACCGCCACATGGAGCTGGAGCAGATGCACGTCCTCGACACCCCCATGGCGCCACCCCACGCCAGCCTCGGCCACCAGGTGCGTGCTGCCGCCAGCCTGTCCTCCAGGAGCCGCCAGGCCTGTGGTGAGGCCTGGGAGCTTCACAGGAAGCTGACACAGGCTCTTACCCAACTCGGCTTCCTGCCCCGCAGCGCCAACGGCGGCCGGAGCCCCAACGGCTGCCGCCTGACCCCCCGGCTGACCTCGTGACCCCACACCCCTTATCTCCTCTGGCACCGAGGGTGGACAGACCCCAGATAATTCCTGCAACCCCACCGAGCCTCCCTGCCCCAATGCCTTCCTGTGGGCCCCTGACCCTCACTGTCCTTCATGGATCTGCATGCATGTCACTGAACACTGAGCTCTACTGCCCCCTCTCTCCCCAGTGACCCCTTTTACTGATGCTAACCCCAATCAGTGGCGTCTGCCAACCCCTTACTGACCTCCAGGGCCCTTTCACTCAGTCACCACCCTGCTTATGAAACCTCTTCCATGCCTGATTCCCAGGGCCCGCTGGTCTGTACAGCACCTTTGTGTCCTGGTGCCAGCAGCCCTGGCCCCAAGGCCCCGCTGGGAGGGTTGGTGGGCCGGGTTTCAGCACCCTCTCAGCCACAGCCTAACCCTGTGTGCCACAGCCTGAGTGGCCTCCACTTCCCCAGCCTCTCCTGGCCTCCTACCCCTGCTGGCCCTGCCCAGCCACCCTGGGCTTTGAGCAGTCCCTTCCTGACCCTGACCTTCACTTCCCACCTTTCCAGGTCTCCTACCTGCCCCGGATGTGCCTCCCATCCTACCAGCCCCTGTCCCCGGCCCAGCCCAGCTCAGATGAGGAGGAGGGCGAGCGGCAGAGCCCCCCGCTGGAGGTGTCTGACGGTGAGGCTGATGGCCTGGAGCCCGGGCCTGGGCTCCTCCATGGCGAAACAGGTGAGGCACCGGCCTCCACCCCAGCCCAGCCCAGCCCAGGCCAGCCGGGCCACTGACCCGGCAGCCACGCCTGGAACTGTGTGTGTGTGTGTGTGTGGAGGGCTGTCTGTGGCTCTCTACCTGTGTGTGCGCCTATCTATAAGCACGTGTGTGTGCTGAGTGCACACAGGCATCTCTGTAAGGTGTGTGAGGTGTGTGTCTGTCTCTCTCTGTGCTGTGTCTTTGTGTGAGTGGGTGTGGGTGTGAGCAGGTGTGTACTCGTGAGCAGGTGTAGGTGGGAGCGGGTGTGGGTGAGACCAGGTGTGTGAGTGTGAGCGGGTGTGGGTGTGTCCGGGTGTGTCCAGGTGTGTGAGTGTGAGCGGGTGTGGGTGTGAGCGTGCCCCATGCGGTGGGAGCTGGGGGAGCTGTCCCCCCGCCAGCCCTTCCCGGCCACCACGCCGCTCCCCGGGGTCCCACAGGAGGCGGGGCGTCCCTGTGCTGGGGCCCCGGCCGCCGCCCACCCCACCTGGCCCCTCCGCCCACAGGCAGCAAGAAGAAGATCCGCCTGTACCAGTTCCTGCTGGACCTGCTGCGCAGCGGCGACATGAAGGACAGCATCTGGTGGGTGGACAAGGACAAGGGCACCTTCCAGTTCTCGTCCAAGCACAAGGAGGCGCTGGCGCACCGCTGGGGCATCCAGAAGGGCAACCGCAAGAAGATGACCTACCAGAAGATGGCGCGCGCGCTGCGCAACTACGGCAAGACGGGAGAGGTGAAGAAGGTGAAGAAGAAGCTCACCTACCAGTTCAGCGGGGAGGTGCTGGGCCGCGGGGGCCTGGCCGAGCGGCGCCACCCGCCCCACTGAGCCCGGCCCGCAGCACCGGCCGGGCCCGCCAGGCTTCCCTCTGGCCATAGCATTAAGCCCTCGCCCGGCCGGACACCGGGAGGACACGCCCCGGGCCGCGGCAGGACTGTGGTGGGCCAGGCCTCGCCTCGCCACCCTCGCCCTCGCCCCTCCTTCCAGCCCTCCGCACCCCTCCAGGACTCCAGCCCGCTGCAGAAGCCACCGGGCATCTCCCCTTCCCTTTCTTCTCACGCCGTAGCCTGGCCCAACGAAATAAGTAATTATCCATTAATCCTCTTACAGCGCGGAGTCTCTTTTTAAAATTCGTTGTGCATCTCGTTTGGGCCCCCTGTGCAGGGACGTCTCTCTTCTTCTCATTTGTCCACGGGGTATTTACTGAGGACTGTCCCCAATGCTGGACGCTGGGGACTTGAGGGCAAATGACACACAGTGCCTGACGAGGAGCTAGAGCTTGGTGGAAAGAACAAGTCCTCAGTTGTTGTTAGGGGAATGGAGCATATTAAAAAGGCCTCTGCCCCTGATAGTTTTCCTTAAAGCCTCAATGAAGCTTTAACTCATAATCTTTAGGTTACAACCTTGATGACGATGGTGATGGTGATGAGGATGATGACAGCAACGACACTGTATTTTCTGGTCATTTAGTACATGTTCCCTAAACCCACATTCCAACCTTGAGATGTGGTGTCTAATGTCACCCCATTTTATAGAACGGGAAATGAAGGTTTGTAGAGGTCAAATGATTTGTCCAAGGTCACGCAGCTGGTGAGGGGCTGGGCTGCATCCCACTCCAGGTCTGTTCCCGCCAGTGGCCGAGGTAGGAAGCTTCATTTATCGGGAAGAGGGTACTCTTCACCATGCCAAGGAACAGGGATTAAGCCCCAACGCTCCAGTTGACCCCAAAGTCCTCTCACAAGGTAACAGCCCAGCGGGACCTTAGACACAGGCAAACCCCTCGTGAGCAGCCAGTGTCCTGCGTGTGTTTGCTCTCTGTCCCCTCCCCCAGAGCCGGGGGAAACAGAGGTGAGTAGGGAAGTCTGTAGGTACTGAATCTGGCTTTGCACGGTAGCAACAAGTGGCAGCAGACAGCCGGGGAGTGAGGAAACTTCCCCGAGCAGTCTGCAGACCTCAGAGAACCCAGATTCTGGGACCGTTGTCAGAGGGACAAACACCCCTGTGGGCCCCACCATGACCCTACCCTACTGCAGGAAGGCTAAAGGGTGTTCAGCGTCTTTTCTTAAAGAAGGCTCAGAAGCAGGCGATGTGGTTTAAAAGTGTTTAAAATGGCAGAAAATAATAAATTTCAGTGTTTAAATGGATGGAAAGCTTCCACCACCTGGAAAGTGCTTACATGCCGAAGTTTTCTCTTCTCACCACGGGGGATAAATGACCTTTCCTAAGACTGGGTGTGTTTGGAGGGGGTCACATGTAATTTGTTTCTTTCTGTAGCAACTGATGTGACAAGGGTGGGGTCCAGTCACAGGGGGCCAGGCAAGAGGTCACAGAGGAACAGTGCGGAGGAGGATGAGAGGATCCAGAACATTCTGGCATTAATCTTTGTGCTGATCCTTGTGACTTTGGCAAGAGCCAGCTCTGCTTCTGTATTCTACTTTGGGGCATATTTAGAGCTTCGCCCCGATGCCCTCACCTGCAGGCTCACACAGCCCTTCCCTTTGGGCGACACCAGCCCCCAATATTGCCTCCTCCCCACCTGGCTCTGGACTAAGCCCACCCAGGACTCCACAGCACGAAGCCGGCCCCAGGCCCCTGAGTTGCAATGGCGTGGGCCAAGTAGTAACAGCAAACACTGGTGCAGCATTTACTTATAAACCCACTTCATACATGGAACTGTCCTATGCAGTGGGTGCTACTGTCACCAGCCCCACTTCACAGATGAGGACACCAAGGTGCTGCATGGTTAAGGGAATGGCAGTGCCAGGCACAGGGGCAGCCTGGGCCCAGGCTCTGTGGGCACAACCACTGCCCACCCTGTCTGCGGGGTGCTCTCCATCTGTTAGTCTAAGGGCTAGGGGCCTAGCACACTCCCACCACACCATTTGCTATCAGACAGACATACGGGCAGGACTTGAGGTACCCCTGAGGCTCGCCAAGAATTGGGGAGGAAAGCTGGGGGTGGGGGGCAGGGACAGGAGCTGGGCAGGGCCAATGAGGCCCTACCTTCTCCCTGGAGAGACCTCAGCTCTCTGGAATTTGTCTATATTTAGCAGGTGGCGGGCAGGAGGCAGATAAGCAGAGCCTGGGAAGGGGGGAGGTCCCCATATATAGTGGGATGGGCAGGACCCCCGCTCAGTCCCTCTTCGGGTGGCCTGTGCCTGCTTGATACCCGGTGTGACTTCTCTCAAGATGCCTGAGCCAGGGAAGAAGCCAGGTAGCTCCAGGCCTGTGCGTGGGTCTGAGTGTGGGGTTGGGGGTGACCACAGTTGGGGGGAGGGCTAGGAGGGAGTTCTTGAGGGGGCTGGTGAGGACAGGGCCTCTGAGCCCCAGGACAGGGGTGTGGTCCTACTGGGTCCTTTTGTGACTCTCAGTTTCTTTTTCTCATCCCTCTGATGAGAGTGAGGGTAACTCAGGGCCAGGGGGCACTCAGAGGGGACAGAGCCAAGGCAGGAAGTGGCCAGGGCCATCACTGTGTTCTCAGAACACAGAGGAGCCCTCCCTCCCTACGTCCCCTCTCCTGGAGCAAGGTTCACGCAGACACAGCTGAGTCTAGCCAGACTGGAGCCAAGCTCACTGAGCGCCCTCGGGGAGCCTGCACAGGGAGGCTTGGGTGGGCTCCAGCTGTGGACTATCACCTGTCTTGTGAGCCTGCGGTGGTGTGGCCCCCACGTTGAGGGTGACACAGCCCCTCTTCTCTGGGAAAGAACAGTCAAGAGGCCCCTGAGCCTCGGCCAAGGGCAGAGAGAATCAGAGCCTGGGCGCCTGGTCTTGGGCTGTGCCCTCACCGAGGTTGTCCAGGGCAGGGATCCAGGCCCCCATCCCCCAACCCCAACCCCCTCCCAGGCCAGCTTTATCTCAGTTGCTGACACTGGGCCTGAGGCCCTTGGACAAATTTAGCCACATTCCAAGTCGGCAGAGTACCTGTGCCCTGCCAGGGGCCCCCATGGTGGGGGGCAAGGGGGATGGGCTCCTCCCTGGTTCCCCAGGCATGGAGGGTAGAGTATCCAGGGGACACACCTAAGGAAAGTCTTGTGTGAAGGTTAGGACCACAGCCCTGGCTCTCCTGCCTACTGGCTGTGTGACCTCAGACAAGACACTTAACCTCTCTGAGCCTCGGTGTCCTCCTCTGAGAACTGGACATAATAACTGCACCCACCTCATAGAGCTGTTGAGTGTTACAGAGGTGGTACGTGGGAAGTGCTTATCACAGTATTTAATAAGAGGGGCTGCAAGGGCTGGGGCACGGTCCAGCCAGGGCCTGCTGCAGCCCCCATCTGGCCCTGCAGTCTCAGCTTTCAGCAAGAAGCCGCGGTCCATGGAGGTGGCCGCAGGCAGCCCTGCCGTGTTCGAGGCCCAGACGGAGCGGGCAGGAGTGAAGGTGCGCTGGCAGCGGGGGGGCAATGACATTGGAGCCAGTGACAAGTACATCCTGGCAGCCGAGGGCACACGGCACACGCTGACAGTGAGGGACGTGGGCCCTGCCGACCAGGGGTCCTATGCAGTCATCGCAGGCTCCTCCAAGGTCAAGTTTGACCTCAAGGTCATAGAGGCAGGTAAGATCCTGGTTAGCCTTCCCTGAGGTCTGGGCTTCTGGGCGAAGGGGCAGCCCGGCCACCTCTCCATCCGCCCAGGGCACAGGAGGTGTTCTCACTCTTTCTTGCCCTTGCTTGGCTGTGCCCTCTGCACACCACCTCTGTGAGTGTCCCCATGTGGCTCTCTGGCCTGTTCCAGCCATTGTGGAGGTGGGAAAATTGAGAGATGAGCAAGCCACAACCTCATCGTCCCACTGGAGACCTCCCCAGGGAGACGACCCACGCACAGCTGGCAGCTTGGCGGGCTGCGTGTGCTGGCAGGGGAGCCCCGGGAGGTGTGGGCGAGGAGGGGCCCAGCCCAGCCTGGGGGCTGGCCTGAAGCCGGAGCCTGGGGGAGCAGAGCAGGGGTGGACTCAGAGCTGTTCGGGGCACACGCACCAGGACGTTGGCACAGGTGGCCTGTGACGGTGAGGAGAAGGTGAGATGCAGGCTGGCCCCCTGGCTCAGCCCGGGCCGCCTCTGAGCGTGGCCTGGCAGCAGAGGACAGGCGTGGCAGCAGGGGTTTGCTCGCAGGCTGTGGGTTCACGGGGCTGATGCTCGGGAGAGACGTGGTGAGTGCAGGCCAGGTCTCTGGTTAGAGGCTGTACCTCGACCCCACCTGATCCCCTCCAGAGAAGGCAGAGCCCATGCCAGCCCCAGCCCCTGCCCCTGCCCCTGCTGAGGCCACTGGAGCCCCTGGAGAAGCCCTGGCCCCAGCCACTGAACTGGAAGGAAGCGCCCCAAGTCCTGAAGGTGAGAGGGGCTGGACAGGGAGGGACAGGGTGGTAGGGGGTGTCCCAGGAGGGTCTCCAAGGCCTCTCTGCTCACAGGGTCAAGCTCAGCAGCCCCCAGTGGCCCTGAGCCTGGGTGCCCTGGAGCCCCCGAGGACCCCATCGGCCTGTTCCTGATGCGGCCTCAAGACGGCGAGGTGACTGTGGGTGAGTGTGGGCTGCGGTGCCCCGGGGTGGGGTGGGAAGGAAGTCAGCAAGCAGGGCACCCCCAAGCCCAGCCTGTCACCCCTCTCCTGCAGGCGGCAGCATCACCTTCTCAGCCCGCGTGGCCGGGGCCAGCCTCCTGAAACCGCCTGTGGTCAAGTGGTTCAAGGGCAAGTGGGTGGACCTGAGCAGCAAGGTGGGCCAACACCTGCAGCTGCGTGACAGCTATGACCGGGCTGGCAAGGTGGGTCCACCCGGGGTGGTGGGGACACATGGAGAGGGGACATGGAGAGCATGGGGCACAGGAGGCAAGGCGGCACCATGCAGGAGGTGCAAGGAAGGGGCATGGGGAGATGGGGAGGCAGGTAGGGGGCCAGGGAGCACGTGAGGCTCCAGGGAGGGCTCTGGGGGACTTTGGGAACTTGGAGGACGTGATAGTCTCAAGTCTTGGGGCCCCAGGGAGCTCAGGAAGGCTGGGGACACCATGAAGCATGAGGGCCTCAGCCAGTGAGATTGTAAAGCCCTTGGATGGGCGGGTGTCAGACCTCAAGGGACCCTCAGGGATTGACCAGAACAAAAAATTCCTCATTATACAGAGGAGGAAACCGAAGCTTGAGAGATTAAGTGGCTGCTCCAAGGTCACTCAGAGCCAGGTTGACTCCCAGCCTCTGCTTTTCCCGACCGTCTACAGTCCTGGGCCAGACAAAGGGACCTCTGGCAGGACAGGGCCAATGGTTCAGCTATGTAGGCTGTGCACTGCACAAAAAGCCCCTCGTCTTGTTCAGATGCCATTTGCCTTGTAACCATCACGGGTTTGTATTTTATCATGATCATGTGCCAGCAGATGGCAGTCTTGAGTCTTGAGAAGGGGCCCCTTTCTCTATACAAAACTCTCTGTATGGGTTAACTAAACCAGGGAGGTGAGGTTGGTAGGTATTTGCCACTCCCAGTCTCTTTTATGGACGAAGAGCTTTGTCTCCTGGCCCCTGGTCTCCCCTGAAAACCCCCCTCATCTCGCACACAGATCTACCTGTTTGAGCTGCACATCACCGATGCCCAGGCCACCTTTGCTGGCGGCTACCGCTGCGAGGTGTCTACCAAGGACAAATTTGACAGCTGTAATTTCAACCTCATCGTCCATGGTGAGGAGGGCCCTGGTGTTTGTTCTGGGCTTGGCCTCCCCATGGGTCCTCGTCCCACACTACCCCGATTTCTCAACACGAGAGAGCATGCCTAGTCTGGCCAGACATCAGTGCCGACCATGCGCCTAACACTGTGCACAAGTTGGGGACGGAGGTCAACGGAGGCTTCCTGGGTTGGAGGAGGCCTTATGACAGAGTCCAGATCTCACCTGGGTGGGACTCTGTCTCATCATCTTGGTGTCCCTGGCTCCTGGCACAGAGCCTGGCACCCTCTGAATGAGTGGTGGACAGGTAGAGGGTGAGTTGAGGGATGAGTGGGAGACCGACCACCCGTAGGGATTGGGGTCCATAAACTGCCCCACGTCCCGGTGCCTGGCCCCTGGAAAGGCAGAGAAGGTGGGAGTCTGGGGCAGATGCCCACCCTCAAGTGTCGTGGATGGGCAGTCTGCAGGTGCTAAGAGACCCCAGGGCAAGGCTCCTCACATGGCCCCCTCTGAAGCCCCTTCCCTGCCTCCTTCCCCTCTTTGAATCCAGAGGCCATTGGCCCCGGAGAACTGGACCTCCGAGAAGCTTTCCGCCGCACGTGAGTGGCCGTCTGTCCTCGGGGCCTGGGGGAGGCCCGTGCTGGAGCCTGAGGCCCCTGGGGGTCAGGGCTGGGGGGCACGTGGGGTAGGGGCTGAAGTCAGTGAGGGATGGGGGGAGAGTAAACTGCCCTGGGCAGGCGAGTAAACTGAGTCTACCCCGCAGGAGCGTGGGCGGAGGCGGTCGGCGGACCAGGTACCCCTTCCCCGGCCCCCACCTGCACCACACACAGACCTCCGGGGCTCTGAGGGGCGCGGGGAGCCGCGTCTGGCCGGTGCCTCTTCCTCTCACTCCCCCCACGCCCCGTCCTGCTCCCGGGCCTTCCAGTGCCTTCACTGCAGCCTCACTGGGGTCCCTGTCCACAGTGACAGCCACGAGGACACTGCGGTTCTAGACTTTAGCTCACTGCTGAAGAAGAGGTGAGTCCCTGGGTGGCAGCTCCTGGGGCGGGTGGTGGGACGCAGTTTCAAATCCCAGCACCGCGATTCTCCAGCTGTGTGACCCTGAGCAAGTCACTGAGCGGGTCCCCCCCCGGAGCTGGTTTCCTTGTCTGTCAAGTGGGTGATCTCAGCACGGGGAGGCACTCAAGGCTCTGCAGACATTGTGTCCTGTGAACAGTCGTCCTCATAGTGTCCCCTAGGCCGCCCACGCTTGAGTCTGCAATAGCGCACCTCAGTAGACTCCAGGGGCCCAGAAGAAGCTGAGAGAGGGTCCCCAAAGCCACAGAAATTGTCCACCCAGTCTACCCCCACCAGACAACAGAGAGGACTTCTGTTCTGTCCTCTCCCGCCCTCTCCCCCGAGCCCTCCATTATGGCTCATGCTGCCTCGGCCCAGACAGTGAGAAATGGGGTCTGAGTGCTGGGGGCGGCAGGGTGCTGGCGGCTGTGGAGCTTACCCTTTTGGGATCCTGTCCCTGTCCCTGCCAGGGTTTGGGGACAGACTCGGACAGACCAGGGTGAGGCTCCCACTGACCGGGGCCAGTCTCTGAGCCCCGGGGTCTCCTGATACCCTCCTGTCTGTCGGGGCTCAGGAGGACGAAGCAGCGGCAGTGCACACGGGGCCTGCACGGCGCCCCTGGCGCATCGTGGGAGCTGTGGGCATGCGGGGGTGCACGTGCGGGAGGAGGAAGGAGGGGAAGGCCCATCGGTGGGGTCCTGGGTCTTTGTGGGAAGGTGCCCAGACCACTAATGTGTCCACTACCTTTTCTGCCCCACCTGGAGCAGCAGCTCCCGGACCCCGCGGTGAGTACCCAACATAGCCCAGCACCCTGGTCCCCCGCTGCTGAGCCAGGAACCCCTTCCTAGCCCCAGCGCCCCTTAAGCTCCCTTGGCCCCCACACCTGGCCCAGGGGCCATGCCAGCCAAACCCACCCGGACAGAAGGACAGGAAAAGAGGGGCAGGGCGGCTACAGCTCCTTAGTCCCCGGCCCAGGGTGCCCCGTCCCAGGGAAGGGGGCGCTGCAGTCTTGCCCCTGGCCACAGGGCGTCTGTCCCCTGAGGCCTGTCCACACGGACTGCGGGACACAGGGACTCGAAGCTGGAGGCACCGGCCGAGGAGGACGTGTGGGAGATCCTGCGGCAGGCGCCCCCGTCGGAGTACGAGCGCATCGCCTTCCAGCACGGCGTCACCGACCTGCGTGGCATGCTCAAGAGGCTGAAGGGCATGAAGCGCGACGAGAAGAAGAGCACAGGTTGGCCCTTCTCCCACGTGGCCAGGAGAGGGCCCGCGTTGGCCCCCTGCGTCCACATACGTGGAAAAAAGGAGTCCAGTTTAGCCCAGAGACACACAGGAAAGAAGATTCCATGTTAGCCGCCCCTGGTATAGGAATAAAAAAATAAAAGAGGGCCCAGGCTAGCCCTGCCCCATCAAGGTGCTGACACGGGCGGCTGTGAGCCGGGGAGAGCAGCGGCCTTACCTGCTCGCTCACTGCTGGGTCCTCAGAGCCCAGCTCGGCGCCCGGCACACAGCGAGCGCCCCCTAACCGCGGACTGAACGGATGGACCAGCTTCCGTGCAGAGGCAGGGAAGACGAGCCCCTCCCCAAACATACACAGGGAACACACGACTCACATGGAAGGGGAGAAGAGTTAGGCCCTCCCTGCTGACCTCCCTCAGGCTCCCTGGCTCTCTACCCCACCCCCGCCGGACTCAGCCTCATCAGTCCCCCATGCGCCATGTCCTGGCCCTGACCTGCCTGGGGCCCCTGTTTAAGTCAGGAATCCCCTTGATGCTGCAAGTGTTCTACTGGGTTAACCCTCCAACTTCTGGGCCCAGAGGACACCAAGCAAAGGCCTGCAGATAACAGAGCAGGAGCAGATGGAGGCTGGGTGAGGCAGACAGAGCCACTGAGGGTGAGAACATCTCACAGTAGGAGTGATAGTAATAATAGTAAAAAGAGTCTGGGAGTGGTGGCTTCCACCTGTTATCCTAGCATTTTGGGAGGCTGAGGCGGGAGGATCACTTAAGGCCAGGAGTTTGAGACCAGCCTGGGCAATACAGCAAGATCCTATCTCTACAAAAAATATAAAAATTAGCTAGGTGTAGTGGTAGGCACCAGTAGATCCGGCTATCTGGGAGGCTGAGGCAGGAGGATCACTTGAGCTCAGGAGTTTGAGGTTGCAGCAAGCTATCATGACGCCACTGTGCTCCACCCTGTCTCAAATAAACAAAAAATAACAATAATTAAAAAAAAAAAAAGAGGAAAAGAAGGTACATTTGTCCCATCCCTGGTTCTCCTACGTGCTTCCATCTTTCTGGAAGCCCCTAGCCCTACCCCTGAGCTAAGTGCGTGGAGAGTACCCCAAGGAAGACAGAGGACAAAGGCAGAGAGACAGACAAGGACAGACACTTAGACAGTTAAGGAAACAGAGACACTAGGGAGACACAGAGAGAGGCAGAGGCAGGAGGCTCAGAGGGGCGGGGAGGACGGGCCCTGCCACTGCCCTGGGGAGAAGGCTGCCGGCGTGGTGTCGGGGGGCTGAGAGCTGGTGTTCAGTCTTTCAGAAGAAGCTGGAGCCGGCCTACCAGGTGAGCAAAGGCCACAAGATCCGTCTGACCGTGGAGCTGGCTGACCCTGACGCCGAGGTCAAGTGGCTTAAGAATGGACAGGAGATCCAGATGAGTGGCAGGTGCGCCCAGGCGGGGAGGGGGCCCCAGGACCTTGAGGGGGTGGGAGACCCCTCAGGAGATGGCTGCCCCCGCCGCCTTGCCTCCCTGCCTCTCTCTCCCCACACGCGGCTCCGGCTCTGGGTCCCCAACACTCTGTGTCTCCCCACTCCTCTCTCCGGGTCTAATTTGCTATCTTCCTGCTTCTGCCTGTCTCACTCCCTCTCTCCTGTCCTCTCGGTCTCACTGCCTCCGTCGGGAATGCTCCAATGGCTCCTTCTGCTCCACAGCAAGTAAGTGCCCCTGGACGGCTTGGGGTGGGGGGCCAGGGGCTGCATTGGGGCAGGTCTGTCCACGACTCTCCCGCCACTTCCCCACCCAGGTACATCTTCGAGTCCGTGGGTGCCAAGCGCACCCTGACCATCAGCCAGTGCTCGCTGGCGGACGACGCGGCCTACCAGTGCGTGGTAGGCGGTGAGAAGTGCAGCACGGAGCTCTTCGTGAAAGGTGGGCCCGGGCCCCGGGCCCGGGGGCCTGGGGAGGGGTGGGGCTGGCCACAGGGGGCTCACGCTCTCCCTGCCGGCACAGAGCCCCCCGTGCTGATCACGCGGCCCTTGGAAGACCAGCTGGTGATGGTGGGACAGCGGGTGGAGTTTGACTGTGAAGTGTCCGAGGAGGGGGCCCAGGTCAAATGGTGAGTTCCCCAGGCGCGGGGTGTGGGCAGGGCTGGGGGCATCCACCCAGAGGGGGCCACAGCGCTTGCTGCCCACCCACCCCGCCAGGCTGAAGGATGGGGTGGAGCTGACCCGGGAGGAGACCTTCAAATACCGGTTCAAGAAGGATGGGCGGAGACACCACCTGATCATCAACGAGGCCACACTGGAGGACGCGGGGCACTACGCGCTGCACACCAGCGGGGGCCAGGCACTGGCCGAGCTCATCGTGCAGGGTGAGGCCCTTGGGCGGGGGTGGGGGCTCAACTCCAGCCCTGACCAGCCACATAGAGGGGTCAGGCCTGTGTGGCCTTGGGTGAGTCACTTTGACTACCAGAGCCTCCCCTTTCTCATCTCCAAAACGTGGTGCTAGGCCGGGCGCAGTGGCTCACACCTGTAATTCTAGCAATCTGGGAGGCCGAGGCAGGCGGATTACTCGAGGTCAGGAGTTCAAAACCAGCCTGAGCAAGAGCGAGACCCCGTCTCTACTATAATAGAAAGAAATTAATTGGCCAACTAATATATAGAGAAAAATTAGCCGGGCATGGTGGCGCGTGTCTGTAGTCCCAGCTACTCGGGAGGCTGAGACAGGATTGCTTGAGCCCAGGAGTTTGAGGTTGCTGTGAGCTAGGCTGACGCCACGGCACTCACTCTGCCCTGGGCAACAAAGTGAGACTCTGTCTCAAAAAACCCAAAAAAACAAAAACCCAAAATGAGGGTGCTGAGGTGACCACTTCAAGGGGTGTGGAGGGTCAGATGGGCCTGGTAAGTGTTCCCTGTTCTCCCGAGCTTTGAGGTTCCTGTGTACGCTGCACACACCCGTCACACGCAGGCACACGCGTTTTCACGTGCCCACACGTACCCAGACGAGCACGCTGCCGCCCACGAGCCCACGTGCTCTCCACAGGGATTCTCGCCCACACCCACACTCCCTCCCGAGCTCACGGGCTCTGCGCTGCCCCCAGAGAAAAAGCTGGAGGTGTACCAGAGCATCGCCGACTTGACGGTGGGCGCCAAGGACCAGGCCGTGTTCAAGTGCGAGGTCTCGGATGAGAACGTGCGGGGCGTGTGGCTGAAGAACGGGAAGGAGCTGGTGCCCGACAGCCGCATAAAGGTGTCGCACATCGGGCGGTGAGTGTGTGTGGCAGGCAGAGACCGAGACAGAGGGAGAACAGGGAGAGATAGAGACAGAGAGAGAGACAGAAAGAGACAAATAGAGAGAGGCAGACAGACAGGCACAGAGACAGGACAGAGACTTAGAGTCATGGAAAGATGGAGGGACAGAGAGAAAGACAAAGAGAAAGAGAAAAATAGTTATAGAGACACAGAGATATATGGTGAGAGAGACACCTGCAGAGAAGGGGAGTCCATCAGGGACAGAGAGGACAGGGGGACAGACTGACAGGTCAGGATCCCCCCGCCCCCACCCAGCCGTGACCAGGGCAGGACAGGCAGCCCCAGGAGGCCGGCTCTGCTCTCTCTGCCACCCTCTGGCTCACCCCCGGAGCATCTGGGCCGGCGTGCCGGGCCCAAGTTCACAGAGATTAGTGAGCCCCAGCCCTTGTCCGGTCTCCAAGAGCCCAGCCGAGGGGACGCCTTGGGGTAGAAATCACGTCTATGCTGCCTGCTTCTGAAAACATGCAAGGGAGCTGGAAAATTGGAAAACAAAACATTTTTAAAAACTGCAACACCACCGAGCCAGGACAAGGTGGGGGCCCCTTGGTTGTGGGGCCACTGGGGTCCCCTGAGCCACTGCTGCCCTGCAGGGTCCACAAACTGACCATTGACGACGTCACGCCTGCCGACGAGGCTGACTACAGCTTTGTGCCCGAGGGCTTCGCCTGCAACCTGTCCGCCAAGCTCCACTTCATGGGTGAGCCTGCGCCAGGCGGGCGGGTGGGGGCGGCAGGGCCGGGAGTCCCTGTCGCTGGCTCCTGCCTTGGCCCCCGTGTCACCTGCTCTTCCTTCTCTTGCAGAGGTCAAGATTGACTTTGTCCCCAGGCAAGGTGAGTCTCGGGGCCCTGCGTGCCACCTCAGCTCTGCCCACCTCCCTGCACCCCCCACAGCTGTGTGCCCCCTCACTCACAGACAGGGAGGAGCAGGGTCACGGAGGGAGCCCTGAGGCCCAGCTCCAGCTGTGCCACTCAGGACCCTGGGCCAGTTATAATCTCTCTGAGCCTCAGTTTTCTCATCTCTAAAATGGGGGTCCTGACAGTACCTCCTCCACAGCATGGTTACAAAGATGGGATGAGGTGACCTGTCAGAGCTGTCAAATGGTGTCACAGATGGGAAGTTTTATTATTACGTCTTTTCTTCTTTTGGAAGTACCTCTCTTGCTTTTAGATTAAGCTGTAGTCAAACATTTTAGGATTCTAACTTCAGGAGAACAGTCCGGGCTGAGGCATGCTCTAGGCTCCGTGCTTTCCAAACTGGGTTCACTTAGCGTTTTTAACCCATTTTTAAAGGGTTTTATGGTGAAATCAGTTTGGGATACACTGAACACTTGATTCAATTCACCGCTTGTTGACGCGGAAGGTGCATTAACATGCGAAAGGTCTGAAAAACCCCACGGTAAAGAAATGCTTCACTTTGTTTAACCCTGGGTGGGTCCCCAGTATATTTGTTTCTGGCAGGACATTGGTGTGGCCCCGAACACAGTTTGCAAGGTGCTATGCTAGGTGACCTGAATATCAAAAACCTCCTGGAGGACTTCCTGGGGTGATGGAAATGTGAGGACTTCCTGGGGTGATGGATCTTGACTGGCTCAGTGGTTACACAGCTGTATGCTTTTGTCAAAATTCATCAGACTGTGCTCACATCTGGGCACTTTGCTGTGTGTAAACTATATGTCAGTAAGATTTTAAAAATAAAAACCAACAACGGGGGGCATGGGTGCCCCTAGTGGGCTCCTTCCCAGTGACCTGTGCTCCTCCCAGCTTCCCCCCCTTTCATCCCCCACCAGAACCTCCCAAGATCCACCTGGACTGCCCCGGCCGCATGCCGGATACCATCGTGGTTGTGGCTGGGAATAAGTTACGCCTGGACGTCCCTATCTCTGGGGACCCTGCTCCCACTGTGATCTGGCAGAAGACCATCACACAGGTAGTGTGGTCACTCCTCAGTTTCTCCACCTGTAAAATGAGTGTGCAGGACCAGCTGAGGAGTGCTGGGACCCACTCCCCACCACACCCCACCCCAACGTGCACGCCCGCAGCTGGCCATGGCGGGACACCAGGGCAAGGTGGGCAGCGGGGGTGGGGGCGTGGAAGGAGAGACAGAGGGGCCCTTCAGGCTGAGCCAGCCCCTCTTCCCCCTACTTCCCTCCTGTTCTGTTCCCAGGGGAGTAAGGCCCCTGCCAGGCCAGCCCCCGACGCCCCAGAGGATGCAGGTGCCAGCGACGAGTGGGTGTTTGACAAGAAGGTGAGTGAGGCTGAAGTCAGGACATGGCTCATTTGTCTTTCGTCTTTTTCTGCCCACCTGGTGTCCACCCCTGGGCGAGGTCTCCCTGGAGGTACCACACCTAGCCAGGTGTGTTCCTGCCCCAGACAGGGTCCCCATGGGGCCCTCACGTCTCAGGCAGGTGCACTGCAGAGTAGGTAACTGACAGGCCCCTCACGAGGGTGTTGACGCCCTTGACATTGCCAGGAAGCTCTCGTGACCGGGCTGCGCCCTGGCTCCCTGCATCCTGAGCTGACCTTGACTTTGTGTTTCCTCCCGACTAGGGAGTGGGTCTCCCTGGCACTTTTTGGTACGTGTGGCTGCCCAGGGTGTTGGTTCTCCTGCAGGCTTGCCTACCTGGGGTCTTGCTGGATCCTCACAACAGCTCTCTGTGGTCATGCTATTCCCATTCAGCAGACAGGGAAACTGAGGCACAGAGAGGACAGGCAATTGCCTGAGGTTCCATACAAAGCCCCTTTGCCCTGGTGCCCTGCCCACGGCAGGTGCTACATAAAGGTTTTTGAACAAGATGCTCACATGGGTGCAGTTTCCCCTCAGGCTGTGTCCCCCATGCACCTGTGCTGAGGTCTGTTCCCGTCTCAGGCCATTTGGCTGTTGCAGAGGCTGCGGGGGCCTCTGGGGTCTGACTTGAGTTCTGCCCCAACTCCCCCTCCCTCCCAGCTGCTGTGTGAGACCGAGGGCCGGGTCCGTGTGGAGACCACCAAGGACCGAAGCATCTTCACAGTTGAGGGGGCAGAGAAGGAAGACGAGGGCGTCTATACTGTCACGGTGAAGAACCCTGTGGGCGAGGACCAAGTCAACATCACAGTCAAGGTCATCGGTGAGGCTGGCCAGGGTTCAAGACAAAGAACACAGAGGGGCAACTCCAGGGAGGGGCCATCCATTCACTCATTCAGTCACTCAACAAACATCACAGGGCATGCTGTCTGAGCTGGACAGTAGGATGGGTTTTTCTGCCTGCAAAGAGCCCTGCTTTAGGGGGCGATGGAAGCAGACACATTTAGCAGACTTCTTGTGATACTGCTGTGCATGAGCTAGGGCCGTGGGAGCACTGAGCATGGAGCCATTCCTTGTGCCTAGGGGCGAAGCCTTTAGGAGGCTGAGAAGACGGCGGGGAAGGCATGCGAGGCAGAGGAAACAGTGTGTGCAAAGGCATGAAGGGGTGAAGGGGCTTTGGGGTACGGAGAATGAATGAAACAACTCTGTGTAAGTGGAGGACCGCATGAGTTGGGAGGACGGAGAGGATCGGACCTAGGACACTGGTGAATGTGGGGAGCCGTAAAGGGCTGCTTGCGTGATCAGGCCGGCGACGTGATCAGAAATGCATTCTAGGAGGATTGCTTTGGCTGTGGGGGGGGGGCAGCCTGTAGAAGTTGGGTGGGGTGGCGAGGGGACGAGCAACGTTGTCCAGGGCCCTGAGCCGGGCAGGGCTGATGTGGGCCCACCCCATCCCCTCTAGACGTGCCAGATGCCCCTGCGGCCCCCAAGATCAGCAACGTGGGCGAGGACTCCTGCACAGTGCAGTGGGAGCCACCTGCCTACGATGGCGGGCAGCCAGTCCTGGGTGAGCCGAGGGCGCAGGGGACAGAGCGAGGGCAGGGCACGGGGGTGTCTGGGCCGCAGACCAGAGCTCCCACCTCCCACGCGCCAGGCTACATCCTGGAGCGCAAGAAGAAGAAGAGCTACCGGTGGATGCGGCTCAACTTCGATCTGCTGCGGGAGCTGAGCCACGAGGCGCGGCGCATGATCGAGGGCGTGGTGTACGAGATGCGCGTCTACGCAGTCAATGCCATCGGCATGTCCAGGCCCAGCCCTGCCTCCAAGCCCTTCATGCCTATCGGTGAGCCTGTTTGGCCCGGCACTGCCACCCGCGCTGTCCCTGCTCAAGGGGCCCCAATAACAGCAGCTGCTCTGAGGACGGCTGGCACACTAGACACTTGCATCCACGGACCCCATTAATCCTCAACTAGGGATAACCTACCTCATTGTACAGATGAGGAAATAGGCTCGGGAAGTTAAATGACCTGGTTGAGATGGCCCAGATGGTAGGGGGTGGAGCTGAGATTCACACCACCTTCACTTTATTTATTTATTTATTTATTTATTTTTGAGACAGAGTCTCTGTTGCCCAGGCTAGAGTGCCGTGGCGTCAGCCTAGCTCACAGCAATCTCAAACTCCTGGGCTCAAGCAATCCTTCTGCCTCAGCCTCCCAGGTAGCTGGGACTACAGGCATGCGCCACCATGACCGGCTAATTTTTTCTATATATTTTTTTAGTCAGCTATAGTTTAGTCAACTATTTTTCTATATACTTTTTTGCCAACTAATTTCTTTCTATTTTTAGTAGAGACGGGGCTCTTGCTCTTGTTCAGGTTGATCTCGAACTCCTGACCTTGAGCGATCGCCCACCTCAGCCTCCCAGAGTGCTAGGATCACTTTCCACGTCTGATTTACTTTTTGAGCCTCACTTTCCACGTTTGCAAAGTGGGGATAACAACACTACATAGATTATAGAGAGCTGTTAGGATGAAATGAGATAACGCAAGCAGGGCATCTGGCATACAGCAGGTGCTCACTAAGTGTTAATTGTCCCCTGTTCCCCATTCCCTTCAACCCAGGGTTTTTCTTATGTGGGACTGGGCAAGGATGGTGGGTACCAGAGAGGTCTGGGGCCATCTGTCTGTGGAGAGTCCTGGCCCAAGAATCAGAGACGTGGTTTGCAGAGCCAGCTCCATCGTCCTCAAGAGGCCGTCTGGAGTCATCTCTCCTGGCAGCCTTGGTTTCCTCATCTGTACAGTGGGGGCTGAGAGGGGAGAGCAGATGCTGAGGGTGTGGCAGGGCTCTCGAGGGACACCTGCCCCTACGTGTGAGTCTGGGGGAGCAGTTGTCTGTGGAAGGGGCAGACACGGGAACCCCTGAGCCCAGGGGGAGGGGCACAGCTTGGGGAGATGGCAGGAAGCAGGGGGTGCCTATGGGGAGAAGGGTCCAGGCCTCTCTTTCTACGGACTGACTTTTGGTTTACTTGTCTTAGTCAACTCACCTAATCATACAGTGCCAGGAAATTCTCATGTTTTAGAATAATTTTTTTTTTACTTAAATTACCATTAATTGACAGGGCTCCCCATAAGTGTCTCTGTGCTCTCTTGGCCATCTTTTCCTATTTGAGTCCCTCTTTTGTCATTGCTGTTGCTGTTTGTTTTTAACCCAGTCTGGAGACACATCTTTTAATGGGACCAAAACATTCCTTCAAGTGCTTCGGAGCCGGCGGAAGGGGACGTCCTCCCCGTGTGACCAGCCGGCAGCGGAGGGTCTGGGTCATGGATCTCCAGCTTGCCCAAGCTCGCTCAGACCCCTCTCTGACCTCTCCTTTGCCCAGGGCCCCCCAGCGAACCCACCCACCTGGCAGTGGAGGACGTCTCTGACACCACGGTCTCCCTCAAGTGGCGGCCCCCAGAGCGCGTGGGAGCGGGGGGCCTGGACGGCTACAGCGTGGAGTACTGCCGGGAGGGCGGTGAGTGCCCTGCGCCCCGGCACCACCCTCCCACCCCCAGGCGAGCACCTGTCACCTGCTGGGCCCAACGGCCAGCAGAGGGGTGGGCAGTGGGGATGGGGTGTTGGTGTCCACACAGCCTGTGGCCTTGCCTCTCCTGTCCCAACCCCCAGGCTCGGAGTGGGTGGCCGCCCTGCAGGGGCTGACGGAGCGCACGTCGATGCTGGTGAAGGACCTGCCCACGGGGGCCCGGCTGCTCTTCCGAGTGCGAGCACACAACGTGGCAGGGCCTGGAGGCCCCGTCACCACCCAGGAGCCTGTGACGGTGCAGGAGATACTGCGTGAGTGCCCCTCACACAGTCCCAAGACCTGCCACTCACTCCCAAGGTGGTGTCCAGTGGAGGTGGGGACAGTCCAGCAGACCCTTCATCCATGCCCTAGGCTCAGGGCACAAGCTTTTCTATGTCAGCCCCCCAGTTCTGGAACAGGGAAAATACAGGCCATACTCTCCAAGCTCTGTTCAGTGAGTCTCTCAGCTCCGACAGGTAGGTTATCATCTCTGTCGTCAGGTCTGAGCAGTGACTCCACTCGAGGTCACATTGGTCCGTTTGGGATCCACCTCCCATTTCTTGATTCCTTGTCCCAACAAAGGGACAGTCTTGTAAGAGTTGGTTCTCTAAGCTGCAAAGAGGCAGCAACCTGGGTGGGAACAGCACAGGAGTCTATTAAATAGGTGTACGTCCTGGCCGTGGCTTACTAGCTGTGTGACCTCAAACAAGTTGCTTATCCTCTCTGATTCCTGCCTCCTGCAGCAGTGTGGAGAGGCTCCAGTGGAAGCAGGAGCTCTGTGAGCCATTTGGGGCCGAGTGGGCTGGAGGCGTGTGGGTTGGGGGAGCTGAAGGAAGGGCAAGGCGCTGCCTAAAGACAGGATGGCGCTGGGGAGCTCCTCAGGGCTGGGGCTGTGGTGGCCTCTCGCTTGGCCACCCACTCTGTACCCACAGAACGGCCGCGGCTCCAGCTGCCTAGGCACCTGCGCCAGACCATCCAGAGGAAGGTTGGAGAGCCTGTGAACCTCCTCATTCCTTTCCAGGTAGGGCTGGCCCCTTCCCTGTCTCCAAGGGGAGAGACTCCGGTGTGTTGTTGACACCCAGCCGATGGGAATGTCTCGGGAGGACCAGACCCTGAGGCCTCAGAGGCCAGGATACTGGTTGGCTCTTGGGGAGAGCCAAGCCCAGGGTTGAGCTGTCCCTGCCCTCAGGGCAAGCCCCGGCCTCAGGTGACCTGGACCAAAGAGGGGCAACCGCTGGCAGGTGAGGAGGTGAGCATTCGCAACAGCCCCACGGACACCATCCTGTTCATCCGCGCTGCTCGCCGGGCCCACTCAGGCACTTACCAGGTGACAGTGCGCATTGAGAACATGGAGGACAAGGCCACGCTGGTCCTGCAGATCGTTGGTACGTGGCCCTGGGGCCTCCCTCTGTGTCCACTAGTTTCCTATCCCTGAGCTGGGTTACCAGGGCCCAGGGCCCAGACCAGAGCCCTTGCAGAAGGTGGCAGGCCGGGTCCTGGCTGGCGGGGGTGAGGGGCCCCTGGAGCCTGGCGTCCCTCTGTTCTGACTCAGGCAGTATCAGGAGGCCAATCTGGCCGGGTCTGTCTCCTCAGACAAGCCAAGTCCTCCCCAGGATATCCAGGTCACCGAGGCTTGGGGTTTTAATGTGGCTCTGGAGTGGAAGCCACCCCAAGATGATGGCAACACAGAGATCTGGGGTTACACAGTGCAGAAAGCTGACAAGAAGACCATGGTGAGCCTGAGGTCCTAGGCCCCCCACATAACCTTCCTAGGCCCACAGACCTGGGTCTAAGCCGCCCTTCCCACGGGCCCACCTCACCCCTCCTCTGCCCATCCGGTTCCCTCCACAGCAGGAGTGGAGATGCCAAGGGTACTCAGGAGAGGCCCCTGGCAGGGGGAGGCCTTGAGCCCCATGGATCCCTCATAACCCCCCCCCCCAGGAGTGGTTCACTGTCCTGGAGCACTACCGTCGCACCCACTGTGTTGTGTCAGAGCTCATTATTGGCAATGGCTACTACTTCCGGGTCTTCAGCCATAACATGGTTGGTCCTAGTGACAGAGCTGCCACCACCAAGGAGCCTGTCTTCATCCCCAGACCAGGTGCTATACCCTTACTCTCATCCCTGGGGGTAGGGGGTTGCTAGGGCAGGGAGGCAGTGGGAACAGGGAGGGGAGCCTGGCTTGGTGTGGCCCTCTTGGTTCCAAGTCCTATCACCAACAGGCATCACATATGAGCCACCCAACTACAAGGCCCTGGATTTCTCTGAGGCCCCAAGCTTCACCCGCCCCTTGGTGAACCGCTCAGTCATCGCAGGTTACACCACTATCCTCTGCTGCGCCGTCCGGGGTAGCCCCAAGGTAGGCAACCTCAGGCCCTGGTCCAGGCTGACACGGGGACAGGGCTTGTAGGCCATAACCACCAGCAGTCCTCTTCCCAGCCTGTGTCCCCTGCTTTCTTTCCACCCTGGAGTGTCTGGGCCAGGTCCCTCTCTCTGAAGAGGGCCTTAGTACTCACTGTTGGCTCCATCTCCATGCACACCTTGGGCATAGTTTGGGATTCCAGTGGGAGACCCCAGAGTAGAAACACAAAGGCCAGTTTCTCTGTGTTCCTGCCAGGCCCCTCTCAACCTGGGATGGTTTCCCCCCCTCATTTATAGCCCAAGATTTCCTGGTTCAAGAATGGCCTGGACCTAGGACAAGATGCCCGCTTCCGCATGTTCAGCAAGCAAGGAGTGTTGACCTTGGAGATCAGAAAGCCCTGCCCCTTTGATGGGGGTGTCTATGTCTGCAGGGCCACCAACTTACAGGGCGAGGCACAGTGTGAGTGCCGCCTGGAGGTGCGAGGTGAGGAACTCGCTGGGCCAGGGTCTGGGAGGTGGAGAGAGAAGGGCAGCAATGGGGCCCCTGGGCTTTGCTCTGCTGTCCTGGTCCAAGCAGCTGCTCTGGCTGCAAGGGCACTGATCCCGTGGTGTCCAGCTGGGTACTGGCTTTCTGGCATGGCCTCCTTCTCTCCTGCAGTGCCTCAGTGACCAGGCTGGCTCCCTGGGGATGGGCAGGTACGTACTCCAGACCACTCTGACACCCAGGGCCCCAGTCAGAGGCTAAGCCCTGGCTCTTGGTCCAGGGGCAGCCATCAGGAAATGGGAGGGTACAGGTGGGCTCAGTTCACTTACAAGCGAACCTGTGTCTCAGGTACAACCAGATGCCAGCCCTATGTGCCAGTAGCCTGGAGGGAAGATGGAGAAGCCCCTTCCTGCTGTCGGATGTGTGTGTACAAGTGTGTCTCCAGGGCTGGGGAGAGGACGGACCAGCGAGCAACAGTTATGATGGGAGGCCTGGGTGGGGGCTGCACTGGCCCTCAGGCCTTCTGTGGAAGCTCCTGGATCTCTGGGGCAAAAGGGGGGTGGGTTCAAGAAATGGCAGTTGAGGACAGGCCTGCCATGGCTTCCCAATGTATAAGGGCAATAAAAGATCAGTGCAGTAACAGAGAACTCACTCTTCCTACCCAATTCCAATGTGTTGTTTCCACAACAAATCACTGGGGCATTTACTTATCTTCACAACAAACTGAGGGCAGGTCTTCTGTTTCCTGATGGTTAAATGAGGCTCAGAGTGGACCCCTAAGCTCATAAAGCTTTAATCCTAGAAGGAACCTCAGTCTTCCCCCACTACACTCACTCCTCATTGAGGAGATGTGACAGAGGAAAGTATTTAGCAACAGAGCCAGAAACCCGGGGTGCTCCTGCCTGGTCCCAGGTGCTCAGACAACCCCTGTGGCCCATGGTCACAGCAGCTTGGGGCTGAGGTAGTGGCGAATCTCAATATTGTGATTGTGTGTCCACAAGGCTTGGAGTGCAGCTGTGCTGGGTTGCTTTGGGGTCCCAGTGAGCAACAAGCCCACAGCCCATCCATACCCGTGTCTTACATGGGAGAAAGCAATCCTGTCCCACCCAGGACACTGCGACCAGAAAGGTGGAGGGGCCAGGGCCCTGCTCTGCTCTTACTTTTCCTATAGGGAGCCTAAATCTGATCATCAGTTTCCTTTTGGGAAGAGGAAGCCAGCAGGTCTCAGAGGTTCTCTGACTGTAGTGGGTGGAGCACCAGGTTTTTCTGTGGCATAGAAATTCCATGAAGGCTGGTCATAGGGTTGCTTCGTAAGTGTTCTTCCCAGTCAATGGAAGACACTTCTGGCCAGGAGTCCAGAGCCCTGGGCTTCAGACCCTGTGGGAGGCCCCGGCTGAGTCACAGGACCTCTCTGGACCACACATAACCTGTACAAGGAACGGGGAGGGCCAGGGATTTGGATTTTTTTTCACTGCCATATTAATCTCTGTTCAGGTGTCAATGCCAGTCCGGCTGCTCCCTCTAGTGGCCAGTTCATAGCACCACAGCCCTCCGCAGGGCCCCGGAGCCACAGGGAAGGAGAGCTCTCTCACAGACAGCCTCTTCTGGGAGCCCTGAAAGCCCAGAGAGTGGTAGGCAGGAGCTGAGACCTCTGTGCCAGAGCTTGGATGTGGATGACCTCATCTTCCTTCTTCCTTCAAGCCTGAAGGTATCTTTTTAGAGTCTAGGGACAGCCTTCCTCAGGCCTGAGCTAAGAGGTGTCACTTAATCACGCAAGGCAGCCAGGGAGCCCAAGGGGAGTCAAGGACATTTATTTCACATTCACACAGCTGTACATTTTCTATAAATAATGAGGAGCTGAAATATTTACAGTCATCTCTTGCCCACCCCCAGGCCGTCTTTCCCTTCTGGCACCCAGTGCCGGGAGGTACTGCCTGCAGACCAGCTATGTGTACTGAACTTGGGCTTTTCCCACCCTTCCCTGATGCTTGGGCAGAGCAGCCGGCGGTCCCTGGGACTCTACTAGCCCTGACGACTCTGTCCTCTCATGCTGAAGGCACGGCAGGCCACAGGGAAATCGCTGCTCTGCTGCAGTGAAGGAGGCCATGGCAGGTAGCAGCAAAGCAGTAGCTGCCAGCCTGAGAAATGCGTAAGGAAGCAGGGAGGCTGCCACTCCCTCCAGCTGCCCCCATCTCTTCCTTCCCCTCTGTGCCTGCCCCTCGTCCGGGAGGCAGGCCCCAAGTTCCCCTCGCCCACACAGAGTGGAATTCTCCAGGTGCCCAGTCCTACCGGATCACAGAGGATGCGGAGCCAGATTCCTGCACTGGAAGGTTATGACGCCAAGGACAAGGAACCACAACACGAATGTCTCAAGGACACACAGTAGTGGGCTCACACTGGCCCGACAGACACAGACACACACACTCACACACTTAAGCCCTGAGGGGATAGTAGTTTGGTCTTCTGGGAGTGGAGAGGGAGGAGGTGGAAGGGTCTAGCTTAGCCCTGTGACAGACATGCTCGAAGACACACTCAGAGACGCATAACTGGTAACCAACTTAGCCACGGCGAGGGGCTTGCAGAGAACATACACGCATCATCCATGCCTCAGTCACAGCAGCATCGTGTACTTGGGAACAGCAAGAGGCAAGAGGCGTCCCCTGCACGGGGGCAGCTGCTTAACCCCTCTCCATCAGCTAGAGACAGGCCGGGGTGGGGTTCTGAGATCTTCCTCGCTGCTACGCACTGCAGCCACATACGAGAAGAGACACAACACAGAGTAGCAGATCTCATGGGCCTAGAGGGGAAAGAAAACCAGACAGATCAACAACACTGAGATCCCCACATCTTCACATGTGGATGATCTGCCAAGTGGGCACCTCCTGTCCTGACACTGGGCTTGGGCCTCTGGGCTAAATGCGAGCCCCAAGCAAGGCCTCAGAAGCTGTCCCAGTGGGAGGGGATTAGTGGGTGTGCACCTGTCTCCCAGGGCTGAAGATGTGCTTCGGCTTCAGTTGGATCTCTGGCACCAGGACCAAGTCCCCTCTTACACCCCTGTGCACTCAGAGGGCCCACCCTTCCTCCTGTCCGAAGGTCCCAGGGAGCCCTTCGCAGACCGGCCCGTCAGGGTTGGGTGACATACTCACCATTGGTGTCTTGTACTTGTGGCTCACCACTTCTTTAATTTCAGGAACTAAAACCGGACGGGCAAGAGACAAAACAGAAAGTTCAAAACTAACAGCAACAGTGCCATGCTCCCCCAGGCGGCAGCGCCCGGCACCAGGGTCCCCTTCCCCTCTGTGGCCTCTCACAGTGGCTGCAGCAGCTTAGGCTATGACAGGGCAGAGGCCACCAAGGCTTTGTCTAGACCCTGCAGGATGAGAGAACATTGTCCCAGACTCCTCAGCTAGACCTCTGAAGTCTTCAGTGGCTCTTTATTTGATGGCTGTGGTTCTACCCACTTCTTTGAAAGCCCCAGCATGGAAGGGGCTAGCCTTTCATCAGCCTGGTCATAGCTACTCTCCAGGGTCCCTGAGGAGCTGCAGGGGGAATTCCTAGCTTTTGGCCAGGAGAATAGAGTTGTCTCTAGCTTTTGCCCACCTTGCTGAGACGCCTGTGAACTCATCCCTGTCACTGACCCAAAAGGCTGGTAGTATTAAACCCAGTTCCTTTTACGCCCAGCCCCCTACACAGAGGGTCTTGAGGCTGGATGAAGAAGTATCATGACACTAAACCCATCAAACTTGGAAGCGTCCTTCCCTGAGTGGCAGGAGAAGCCCAGGCCTGCCTGTGTGAGGGAGAGCGTCAGAGGGCTCTGGAGCAGACACACCGAGCAGAAGAGACAGGCGAGTACAGCACCCGGGGAGGGAGGTGACGGGAGCATCAGGCAGAATACACACATGTCCACAGCCCAGAGTGCACGGTAAGAGTCACCCCGCTCCAGCCATGCAGGGGTTCTACTTGGCCAGAGGAAGGAGTAGGGCCCCCAGGATCAGCCACGGTCATGGCCCCTGGAGACTGGGAGCGGAGGGGCATGGCATCCCCCTGGGGGCTGGAAAAGGCAGGATGAGAATTAGCCACACCTTCTTCTGACCCTGAGAGGCAGAATCTGGGGGAACCCAGGATTAGCAGGGAATAAACTCATCAAAGGTAGAGCAAGAAGCCCCAGGTCGTTCTCCTGAGTTGGAAGACTCCCTCAAACATCTCTCTGGCAGAAGAGAGAAGGGAGCACATGAGGGGAGGAAACTTGGAACCAGTGAGCCAGCAGGAGGGTGGAGGCAAGTTGGGAGGAAGAGGTGGGGAGAGAGAGGAAGAGAGACTTGGCAATGTGAGCAGCTGGCTTGAAGGGAGCCCTCCCACCCATTGCAGGGCCCACGGCAGGGACCTGGGGAGAGGCAGCACGAGCCGAGCCGAGGTCACTTTACCTGCTGGAGAACGAAGGTTTTCATAGCAGCGATGAGGGGCACAAAAGAATGAAGCACAAACACAGCAGGAACTCAAAGCCCCAGGGTGAGAAACACTACACCACTCCTTAGTGCTGGCTGGGGCAGTCTGGCTCCCAGCTTCTGGCTATAACTGCCCCTTCTGCTTGGGAGGCCCATTAGGCTTCTCTGCCCCTCAAGTGAGTCTACCTGTGATGTCTCATGCCCCTACTCTAGCACAGAGGCCAGGTGGAGACCAGAGCATTGCCAGGGAGGCTGGGTGGAGCGCTGGGCTGCTAGAGAGATGGCAACAGGCCACATGGATACAGCAGAGCTTGGGGGTCACCAGTCCGCTCTGCCCCAGAACTTTCTGACCACCAGCCAAGCTTGGGAAGATGGCGCTACTTCACTGAGCTTCTTCAGTATTAGCTCTAAACTCGTCTAAGGCCACTTGCTCTTCTGCGACCCATTGTCTATCTTTTCCTTCTTCTTCCCTTCTCTCATCTCAGGGCTCCCTTTTCTTCCCTGTCACTCCTATTCCTCCTGACCTCTCTGTAGAGGGTCTTCTTCTCCCTGCCCCTAGACCCTCCTCTGGAGCTCCAAGGTTTGAGTTACTGCCATGTGAGTCCAGACCTAAGAGCAAAATAGTGTAATTACCAAATTCCTCCAGGACAAAGACGCCTCGAACTGTATTGCACTTTTTAATGTGATTCAGCTCTATGAAAACCTGCAAGAGAGGGAGGGAGGGTGGGGTAAGGCCCAGAGGCTCAACCCCTGCCCCACAAAGCACACTCTCCCAGCTCTAGCCCCACCCACACACAGAAAACCTATTTCCCAAAGGGAGGACAGAAGAATCCACACACACACAACTCAAAAGCGCTAAGAAGCGAAGATAGCAGAAAGGGCATGTACCTTCCGCTCCTGGCCGGAGGAGAAAGCATGGGAGAGAAATGAAGGTGTTAGTTTTAATGGTCAAACCCAACCCGAAGGCCCCTCTGCTGGCCTGGGCTGCCTGCCATACCCTCTGCCCATAGGACACTGTGCCCCAGGAGTCCCCCGACTCAGCCCATCAGGTCTCTACCCTTCCATGCATCCTCCTCCGGCGCAGAGGGCTGGCACGGGCGCAAAGCTCCCCTCAGACTGTCCTTGGGGTGGGAGGTGTTGGTATCCTTCTTGAAGCAGGATCCAGGATCTCCCAAGAAGTATGTGGTGATAATAATAACAGCTACCACTTGCTGAGCACCTACTTGGAGTTTTACAAATCCTATAATCCTTACACCTATGTGGCACAGTATATAGTATCACCCCCATTTTATAGATGAGGAAACTAAAGATCAGAAAGTTTATATGCTCATGAATACTGAAGTTGGGCTTCAAATCCAAGCATGTCCTGAATCCAAAGTCTGTGCTTCTCCTGCTCAGCCCAGACTCTATAAGTTCACCAGGAGGGTCCAGACCTTCTCCCTCTCCCACTGATTGCTGTGGTACAAGACGGACCACAGGCCATTATCTCCTCATCAGACTGTGAGGTGAAGCTCCTATGTAGGTTCTCTCTTCTAGGGGCCAACCCTTCAACTACAGACCAGTTTGTACATGCTTTGTAACTGCTAAACAATGAGGTGGGCGCACAGGGGCTACACCGAAGGCAGTACAAAAAAGAGGTCAGAGCATCTGGGCATTGATTATCAGGATCTCATCTTCAGAAGGGGAGGCCACAGCACTAAAACATGGTCAGAAATCTGCTCCCCCAAAAGTGCTGGCACCTTCGCAGTCCAGGAAAGTGCTGCGGTAAACCCCAATTTGGGCTGGCCCTAAGCCTTTTAGGGGTTTGCTGCTACTCTTAAGCCCTAGATTGAAAATATACTAAGGGGGCTGCCAGGAAGCCTGGGCAGCTATTTCCTGTTACACCAAAGCTGCCCACTAGATTACGGAAAGCAAGAGAACTAAAATGGCAAGTGGAGGGAGAAAGCCACAGTCACAGTCAGACGTCCACCTGCCCTGAGCGTCTGTCGCCTGGCCAGGGCTGTGGGGCCCCACACATTGGGATCTGGCTCCGAGCCTCAGGGAGAGGAACCAGGACATCGGGTAAGGGGAGGGAAGGCACTTGTGTGAAGAGTCAAGCTGTGAACGGACCTGGGATGATGCGCTGGCCTCAGAAAGGAATTAGCTTAAGGAATGTCCACTGAGAGAAAAAGTAACACTGTGTTAAAAGACCAAGAGAAAAAAAAAAGTCAGCTCCTATGGTGGAATCACAATGAGGGAAAGATGTATCCAGAAGTCCTCCCCAGTCAAAAGAAGAGGAATGGGGCCTGTGGGGCAGGGGACAGAGTGGGAACACTCAAAGGAAGGAATAGAACAGGAAGAAGAATCAGCAGGAGAGGAAAAATGCAAATAAACACACACACTCCAAAGAGGACAGATACAAGCTAGTGACACACACGCACGCACACATACGCACACACACAAGCTTCAAGCACACCAGAAACACGCGAGGAGACCAGCCAGTCTAGACTCTCAAAGCAAAACCACCGAGCAAAAGCACACCCTGGGAATAAAGGGAGGCAGAGACACTGCGAAGACGGGCCAAGTGAGACGCTCCCACTCACACTGTGCGGAGTCTAACGGATGGGGCAGCACAGCTGCCACGTCTCACTCTCTTTCCAGCCTCCCCCACAGGCTCCCTGCTGCACGTTCACAGTGCCTGGTGGTCGCCAACGTCACTGTGCCCTTCCCTGTGATTTTCCTCCTGGGTCTGGCTGCTCCAGTTCTCCCTCTAGCTGCAGAGGCCCTCTCTCATGCTCACTGGGACACGCTGGGGGCCTCAGCACTGGTCTTTATTACAGATGGAACAACAGGGCTGGGAAGCCTTGTGCTGCCGCTTGCACCTACCTGGTTGTGCATGAACTTGAGATTGATCCCTTCCAGGGTGACCTGCAGCAAGCCACCCTCCCCAGTCTTCATGTCCTGCACAGGGAACTCGCCACCCAGTTCTGGTCCTGTGGTGAGGGAGGAGGTTATCAGCTAAGTGGTGAGGCAGGGAGCCCCACCACCTGACTTCTTTGTCAGGCCTCTGGCACGCAGGACTGGTAAACAGAGAAGGAAGACTCTCTTGCAGGAAACCGTTCTCTTCTCACCGGGTTTGATGCTTTGCTGTCGGGCAGCAGCACGCTCCATGCTGTCCTTTACGCAGTAGTACAGCTCCCGACACTGTGGCACAAGGGGGAGAGAGCTGTCTTGTCATGTGAGCCAGCAACCTCTGTCCCCAACCTCTGCTCCATAAGCCACTGAAGGCTTAGGCTGATGCCAGGACCTCAGTCAGCTTCAGGTATCCCACACAATAGCTGGGGACAAAAATGTGGCTCCAGACATGAATTTTGGAATTTTATTTTATTTTATTTGATATAGAGTCTTGCTCTGTCACCTGCACTACAGTGCCATGATGTCAGCCTACCTCACAGTAACCTCAAACTCCTGGGCTCCAGTGATCCTTCTGCCTCAGCCTCCTGAGTAGCCAGGACTACAGGTACACCACCATGCCTGGCTAATTTTTCTATTTTTAGTAGAGATGGGGTCTCGCTCTTGCTCAAACTGGTCTCAAACTCCTGACCTCAAGCCATCCGCCTGCCTCAGCCTTTCAGAGTGCTAGTATTATAGGCATAAGCCACCGTGCCCAGCCCAATTTTGGAATTTTAACTTCCCAGTGAGGAACTCAATACTTGGCCTTCAACGCCTACCCCAACCCTAGCCCAAAAAGAGATCCTGGGTACCTTTTTCGTATAGAACTTGTTGAGCTGGGTCTCAGAGCCATTTCTACGCCACAAGCACAACACCTTGGTCTTGGGACAGTAGGTCATGTTGATGAGCTTCTCATACCACCAGCGCTCATACACCGTCCCGATGTTACTGCGTAACACCACACAGTCATCACACACCTGAGGAAGTGTACAAAGCAGTTCAGTGGTTCTCATCTCCAAGAGCCTCCTCCACTATAGCCCACACTATATTGTTTCCCACAGGGAAAGGACAGGACAGGTGGTCCTGGGACCATTCCCACAGCCTGGTTTCTGCCTGTGACTTCTGCCTGGTACTCATAGTCTCGCTAGGTGGAGACACAAACAGACTGCTGGACATATTGTCTGCTACAAGGATTGTTGAAAGCAATGGAGTCATTGAAAGGAACCTGTGTGTAAGGAAGGAGGCTCTGGTTGTGCATGAATTTGAGATTTCTCAAGTCAGTGTTTATTACCTCTCATGTTCTATAGCCTTAAAGTACTCAGAGGATATCTCATGTCTCCATCTTACCCTAGGAATCATTGCTGTTGACAGCCACAAAGGTAGGGGATTACGGCAGACTTAACCAAGAGGAAAAAAACAGAGCCAATGCATTTTCTAATCCTGGCTGTGGCCTTTTTCTATAAAAATATTTTGAAAAATTATACGAGTGACACATGAGCAATGGTTACTGCATAAAAATTACTCAATACAGGGTGATATAAATAAAAGATCAAAGTCTTTTTCACACCTTCTTATTCAACATCATCCCACAGGTGACCTTATCCATTCTATGGCTTCAATTATTATGGCGGACATTAAAGCACAATGGTTTAAGGGCACAGGCCTAAGACCAGACAGCCTGGTTTTAGATTCTAGCTCTCCCATTACTTAGCTGTGTCACCTTTTTTTTTTTTTTTTTTTGAGACAGAGTCTCACTTTGTTGCCCGGGCTAGAGTGAGTGCCGTGGCGTCAGCATAGCTCACAGCAACCTCAAACTTCTGGGCTTAAGCAATCCTGCTGCCTCAGCCTCCCGAGTAGCTGGGACTACAGGCATGCGCCACAGTTGTGTCACCTTGAGCAAATTCATCTGTGCCTACATTTCCTCGTGTCTAAGACAGGGACAATAATAGGAATAACTTCATGGAATTACTGTGAAGACCAAAGGAGATAATGTGGATAAAATGCTTAATGTGTATAAAAAACCAGGCACCCTAGTTAGCTGCTAGAATAATATAAGAAATATGATTACTATTATTACCATGCTGATAGTTTTTAAGTCTTTCTCCACATTAGACCTCTCTTCCTAAGCTCCTGAACACCTCTCTTTATCTGGAGGTCTCACATGTGGCCCCTCAAATTCATCATATCCAAATCTGCTCGACTCTCTTCCCCGGCAGATCCTCCTAAGTCCACTATGTGAGTGAATGGCACCAGCCCCCATCCAGCTGCCCAGGCCTGAGCTGCTGCTGGAGGTATAAACTGGGATAGTTCTTAGGATGGCAATTTGGCAGAATCTATCAAAATTTTGAGTGTATATAAGCTCGATCTGGAAACTGTATATCTTGGAATATATCCTATAGAAATTCTCATGTGAGTGAGCAAAAATGTATGTTCAAGGATAGTCAGTGAAGCAATTTTTAAAAAAAATAGTGGGAGGCACTAGTTAAATAAATCATGGTACATTCATGTGACACCTAATAGCAAAGCATCCACTAACAAAGAGACAGCTTGATATAACATATAGACATGGAAAGATGTCCCTGATATATTAACTAAAACAAAGCAAATTATATAATAGTATTTGTAATTTGATTCACTTTCATAAATGCCAAAATTCCATGTAAGTTATACAAACATGCATTTTGAAAAATTTGGAAGGATCCACACCGAACTTTAATAGTGGTTATCTCTAAGACAAAGGAGTGGAAGGAAGTGAGGGAAACTTTACCTTTCACTTTATTTACATTGACATGGTTTATAATGTTTACAGCATATACTGTTTCACTTTAGTAACTAAAAAAAAGGCAGAAAACCCCCATTTTTTAAAGTCTTCCCAAACTGCTGTCCAACTGAGCATGCAGCCATCAGGCTGTGCTATGAGAAAGGCTAAATCACATAACTTTATAGTAGCCAGTTGATGACACAGTGATCAAGGTATACTCTTACTTGGCATGGCAATACTTCAAGAACGGGCATCTATGAGGATAATGAATACAATCCCACACTCTAGAGACTTAACAGAAGACTTCCTTGCTCAGTAGTGAGAGTAACTCTTATACTTCAAGGAGTCTTCTGGTGAGACTTATTTTTTAAAAGGAAAAGGAAAGGGTAGTATTACTGTGGTACAGATGCTCTGAGAAACACTCGGCCAAATTCTAACACCTTAAAGGGTGACATGAAAATGACTCCCTTCTTAGTTACACTGACATGTATGATTCTGCTTCAGAACAAACCCCTCTGAATTTGGTAAACCACCTATTCAAAAAGCTGTGAACGTGAAAACCAAGTTCAACTAAACCGAAGGGGAATAAGCATTATTTAATTTCACTACTTTATATAGGAGTTGTATCTGGTCCCTAACAGTACTCAGAAGAGATCCATTTTAGAATTAAAAACACAGAAATGAAGAAAATCTGGCCAATTTTCTTTACAATCCTAGAGTAGGAAGGTTTTTTTCTAACTATGACTCAAAATCCAAAGCCATAAAAGAAACAACTGATTAATTCAATTATATAGAAGTAAAAATTTCTGCATGTCAAAAAATACCATAGGCTGAAGTACTATCTTACATAGATTGAAAAAAAAATACCATAGGCAAACTCAGAAGACAAATGAGGAACTTTCCAGTGGGTAGATCAGGCTGCCCACATCTAAATCCACTAATTACAAGGGAGAGGCAACCAGAAGAGGCAATAGGAAGTCTTCTTGCCAAAAGAGTGAATCTGAAACTCATCACACTTCTAGACCGAAGTACTGGTTTGTTTGTTTATTTATTTAATTTTTATTTAGAGACAGGGTATCACTTTCTTGTCCAGGCTGGAGTGCAGTGGCACATTTATGGCTCACTGTAGCCTTCAACTCCTGGGCACAAGTGATTTTCCTGCCTCAGCCTCCCGAGTAGCTAGGACTACATGCACATGCCACCACGCCCAGCTAATTTTTTAATTTTTGTAGAGATGGGGTCTCACTATATTGCCCACACTGGTCTCAAACTCCTGGCCTCAAGCCTCCCACCTCAGGCTCCCAAAGTTCTGAGATTACAGGCATGAGCCACTGCACCCAGCCTGAACTAGTAGTTTAAAAGAAATATAAGTGATAGAGATACACATTAATGACACCAAAGAGATGTAATCAGCAAAAAAAAGAGATATTTAAGAGTCATGTGTACTTATGACTAGAAGGGCGAAAAAGAGAAAAGAAAAAAAAAAGTCATGTCAACCAAAATTACAAACACATGGCCCCTTTGGCCCAGCAATCCCGCTTCTGGGAATTCTTAGACACACCTGTACATGTATGAAATTAAGCAGACACAGCGTCATTTGTAATAGCACTAGTAGCAACAGCAAAACGTTGGAAGCAACTCAAGGATCTATATGTACTGACTAGCAAAATAAATTATTGTACAGTCACACAGTGGAATACATGTAGTCATAAAAAGAATGAGAAAGCTCTTTTTGTACTGATGTAGAAAATCACCAAGATAATGTTTAGTGGAAAAATCAAGGTCTAAATCAGGCATCCTCAAACTATGGCCCTTGGGCCACATGCGGGTGTTTTTGCCTATTTGATTTTTTACTTCAAAATAAGATATGTGCAGTGTGCATAGGAATTTGTTCATAGTTTTTTTTAAACTATAGTCCGGCCCTCCAATGGTGAGGGACAGTGAACTGGCCCCCGGTTTAAAAAGTTTGAGGATCCCTGGTCTAAATCAATGATACAATGTGCTACCTTACTGTAAGAAAGAAGAAAAATAAGAATTTATGTTCATATTTTGTTTGCATAAAAATCCACTGGAAGATACAAAGGAAACCAATAAAAGTGGTTAACTATAGGATGAAGGGGTTAGTAAGAAATTGAGTGGAGCCGGACGCGGTGGCGCGCGCCTGTAGTCCCAGCTACTCGGGAGGCTGAGATGGGAGGATCGCTTGAGCCCAGGAGTTCTGGGCTGTAGTGCGCTATGCCGATCGGGTGTCCGCACTAAGTTCGGCATCAATATGGTGACCTCCCGGGAGCGGGGGACCACCAGGTTGCCTAAGGAGGGGTGAACCGGCCCAGGTCGGAAACGGAGCAGGTCAAAACTCCCGTGCTGATCAGTAGTGGGATCGCGCCTGTGAATAGCCACTGCACTCCAGCCTGGGCAACATAGCGAGACCCCGTCTCAAAAAAAAAAAAAGAAATTGAGTGGAAAGGGACAAGAATGAGTGCAAGACCTCCCAAAGTACACTATTTTATATTGTTCTGATTTACGGACAATGTGACTATATCATCTATTCAATATATATGTAAAAGAAATGGTATAGGTATCATCTATTATACATTTAATTATGTGCATAACAACTTGATAATTTAATGATAAATGGATCATGAAGATGAATGAGGTAAATGGGACAAATATTCTTGCACTGGTTCTAGGAGTTCCTTGTGACTCTCAAATATCCCTTTGGGCCCCTAGCATGAACCAGCACCCACCTCCATGAAAAAGATATCTCCATTTGTGTCCGTCCCTGCATGTACCACAAACGTCTGCTTCTTCATGTGCCGGCTGCCGCTGGACCGGATAGAGAGATCACGTCCATTCTGACGAAAGAGATTTTTAGGGACATTCATACATCCTTCTTACAGAGGGCTCTGGGCTCAGAATCCCTCATTCAGCCATTAAATTCATATCAGCTTCCTTAGCACAGTCTCATGGGCTGGCCACTGGCCACCAGGGAAGTGGTCTCAGACTTTCTGGTCTCAGGACCCCTATACTTCTTAAAAATTATTGAAGATCCCAAAGAGCTTTTGTTTATGTGAGTTAAATTTAGATATTTACCATACTAGAAGTTAAAATTGAGAAATTTCTTAAATGTTTACTAATTCATTTATAAATAATTAATAATTCTTAATAATAACCCATTACATGGTAAAATAAATAACATTTTCAATAAAATAATTATATTTTCCAAAAAAAAAAAACAATGAAAAGAGTGGCACTGTTCTACATTTTTGCAAATCTCTTTAATGTTTGGCTTGGTAGCAAATAGCTACATTCTCATATCTGCTTCTGCTTGCAATGAGTTGTAATATGTTGCTTTGGTTGAGGTACATGAAGAAAACCTAACCTCACAAATAAATAACGTATTTGGAAAAGGGAGGAGGTTCAATAGCCTCCTCCAATTATAATAGCCAATTATAATATAATGTAATTATAATATATAATAATAATAATTATATATAATTATAGTATAGTATAATTATTATTATAATATAGTTATTATTATATATATATATATTTTTTTTTGAGACAGAGTCTCGCTTTGTTGCACAGGCTAGAGTGAGTGCCGTGGCGTCAGCCTAGCTCACAGCAACCTCAAACTCCTGGGCTCGAGTGATCCTTCTGCCTCAGCCTCCCGAGTAGCTGGGACTACAGGCATGCGCCACCATGCCCGGCTAATTTTTTTTTATATATATATCAGTTGGCCAATTAATTTCTTTCTATTTATAGTAGAGACGGGGTCTCGCTCTTGCTCAGGCTGGTTTTGAACTCCTGACCTTGAGCAATCCGCCCACCTCGGCCTCCCAAGAGCTAGGATTACAGGCGTGAGCCACAGCGCCCGGCCTATTATATTATTTATAGTTATAATAATAACGATAATTATTATGTTATACTATTATAATATAATATATAAATAGCCAATTTATATTTCAGATAAATGTGTATATTCTTCTTTGACACTATGCCAGAACTTGAGAAGTAGCAGTTATTTAAAGTTAGCTGCAATGTAGAATCTGAAATCTGATATGTGAAAACACGTCAATGAACATTTTATGCTGTTACATTAAAATCCATTTATCTGCCTTACATTTTGAGTAGATCTTTTATCCATACTTGAATTTATAACATCACACATTAGTATTTGGAAAATACCGGTTCACTGAGTTAATGCAGCTCTTCCAAATGTTGCCACATTTCATTACACAATATTTAAAAAAATCATACTCATTACTATTATCACCAATCTCATTAGAAAAGTCTTAAAATTGGGAAGCTTCAAGCTCAAAAGTCTCCCCAAATTCTTACTTTCACTTAAAAGTTGAATCTTATCATTGGTGACAAATACTGTCAGTTGTTTTCCTTGAAAGAACAAGCTCACTTTAGTAACTTTATTTTTTTCTTTTTTCTTTTTTTGAGATAGAGTCTTGCTTTGTTGCCCAGGCTAGAATGAGTGCCGTGGCATCAGCCTAGCTCACAGCAACCTCAAACTACTGGGTTCAAGCAATCCTGCTGCCTCAGCCTCCCGAGTAGCTGGGACTACAGGCATGTGCCACCATGCCCAGCTAATTTTTTCTATATATATTAGTTGACCAATTAATTTCTTTCTATTTATAGTAGAGATGGGGTCTTGCTCTTGCTCGGGCTGGTTTTGAACTCCTGAACTCGAGCAAACCGACCGATTCGGCCTCCCAGAGTGATAGGATTACAGGCGAAAGCCACCGCGCCCGGCCACTTTAGTAACTTTAGAGAGAATACCTGCCAAATACCCAACTATGAATAACCATAGTTTTTTGGTCATTCTTTCAAGTAAAAATGATGTTCCATGAACAAAGCTTCTAGCTCACCCTGCAACTCAAACTGTCGCAAATTGCTCTTCCTCAAAACAACCATCATACTTGGGTTTGCAGCAGAAATGCTTTATGTATATTTCCCATTTTGTCAGATAGAATATTAAAAAGATATATAATCAATGACCAAAACTTAACAAAATTAATGATTTTCACTGTTTCATTAAGAAAATTCTTAAGTAAAACTGTTTTTTGTTTTGTTTTTTTAGAGACAGGATCCCACTCGGTCACCCACGCTGGAGTGCAGTGGTGCAATCATAGCTCACTGCAACCTCAAACTCCTGGGCTCGAGCAATCTTCCCAATTCAGCCTCCGAAACAGCTAGGACTACAGGTATGTGCCACTATATTTGGTTAATTTTTAAATTTTTTGTAGAGACAGGGTCTCGTTATGTTGCCCAGTCTGGTCTTGAACTCCTGACCTCAAATAATCCTCCCACCTTGGCCTCCCAAAGCTCTGGGATTATAGGCATGAGCCACTGCACATGGCTCATGTGCAGTGGCTCAGTTTTTAAAAAACTGAGAGTGCAAAAGGTGAGGAATACAATAACTACTAACATAGTTTGGGGCCACTGCCTTCATTTGTGTTAAGGTGCCAGCAGTTTTACCTGCCTCTGCTTTTATACTATCAGTGCAAATGTCAACCCATTGGAAAAGACAAGTAACATTTTAGTATTATGATGAAAATAGTTTTCACCTTGTGTATTCTCAGAAGTTCACAGACCACACACATAGAAACTACTGCACTAGGATGGTTTTAGTACAGAGAACCACATCACAGAATAGCTGAAGCCTCATCTAGAGCCAAAGATTACTGTCCAATTTTCAAAACTAGGGGTTAACTGGACTACAGAGTAACACAAGCCAAGAAAAGACTGATGGGGAAGTATCTGCATTAGGCCAGAAGGCCCAAGCCAGGGAGGCTGACAAGTGTAGTAGAAGGGGAACCTAAAGGAGGGCCCAGATATGCTTACCAGGTTCGCCAGCTGATCAAGCACCTCATTGATTTGCTGGCTGTACACAAGCCCAATATGGGACTTTCCCATTAGGCGCCTCACTTTCTTTCGGATGTCATTCTTATTTACCTGAAAAGCCAAAACAGGAATCTTAATAAGGGATCTGTCCTCCTCTTGACTGAAGTAGACGGAAGAGAATGTAGTAGGTTTCCTACTAGTTGACAGAAATGGAATTCTGAAAGACCACATCACTGAATATGACAGAAACCTTTCAACTGTATATTCTGCGAACTTGCTGGGAAGAAAAGCTCTGGCTTTACCTCTAATTAGCTTCTGCAGAAGAGTGGCTCTTGGAGCAATTCTGGTTCCTCCCTATCCTCAACCAAGACTGCAACATTTGCCCCTAAAGGGGCTCTAAAACCCCCTAGGGCTCCACAATATAATAATTTAGAAGCAATGACCTACAGTGGCAACATCTGGATTCAGCTGCAGGCAAAACACCTCTGAAGGTTTAGGATCATCATCCCTTCCCAAACAGGTGATGATCCTTAACCTTCAGAGAGTGTTGGCTGCAAAATGAGATCCAGTGTTGCCACTATTCCCAACCAGAGTCAACTGGTACCCTGGAATTCAAGGGAGTAGAGTGAACCTCACAACATAAAATGAAGCAAATTAAGAGAGGCATTCTCTGCATTTCATCGACTGATCTCTTCACATTTAGAGAGGCTGGGGAGGACAGGAGGAGGAAAAACTCAGTGGCTCCTTCTCAAAACAGCTCTCTTCTACCCACCAACCCCAGACTTATTTTTCCCTTTCAGAGCATGACTCTTCTATTTGGTAACACACTTCTTCCACAGTTATAAAACAAAGTACAACCAAATCAAGCTAGAACCTACCATTACTTTGTTAATGGGTAGCTTTTTTTTATAGCTATAGAAATTCTCTAAGATAAAGGGCTGAGCTAAAAAATGAATTCTGAGCATTCTAAGGTTTTAGAGTCTACTACTGGAAAAAAAAATTTTTTTAACTCATTGTCTTCTGTGGGGAGTTCTGTTGGCATCCTAAAACTACTCAGCCTATATAAAATTCAAAATAAACAGATAGTATGGAATCATTAGTTACTTTTACACTTTACAGTATTTCTTAGCAAAATAGCCTAACAACTTCAGATCACATATAGGCTGGGAGAGGCCTCAGACTTTTAGTTAGGAAGAGAGCCCTAGTAAGATACTTTGACAGCTTCCCAATTGTGCCAGAATTTAGGTGATAGGAATAAGCCTGCTATTTTAGCAGTATCTGTCAGCAGTAACTGGATAGCAAAATTGACATTACCTTCATCAGCAGCATGTAGGAGATAAGGTTGTGCAAAAGCGTGGCCAGCAAGCGATCTTCATCATCCTCTAGGCGCTTCCGATCATGTTCTCCAAGAGATAGATATCTAAGCAGAAAACCAGGCACAAGTCAGTCCTCAGGTAGGAGACCACAGAACTAACTGGAAGGAAGCTGAATTTGTATTTTCCCAAGGGTTTTCTAAGCCCCATACCTGTCGATCATTTCCTGGGGACCCTGGTCCATACCCATCCCTTCTCTCTCCAACATAACAGCATCTAAGAACGCATCTTCCCAGAACTGCATTTGGTCCCATAAAGTAGAACGCTCTTTGCCTGTGTAGAATCAAGGGTTATCTTAGGGGGTTATTTAACATTTAAAGAATATAGCTGTCAAACAAAAATAAAGAGTAAACTCCAGATAAAAGGGAGTCATCACAAATTCCAGGGCAAAGGAAACACAAACCTCTCTACCCCAGATCTAATATTCCTGCCACCAGCCCCAGATGCCTCCAAGTAAGGCCCAGTCCCTCCCAAGAAGGAGGGATGAACACAGCACACAAAGAAATGTGGTTACTTATAGAAAAGGTCTCCATAGCAGCATCCTCTAACTGGTCCCACATCGATCCTTTGTCCCTTCCTGCCAATTTGTGAACAGGAAGGACCATGGTAGCAAGAAAGGAAAGAAAGGAAGACAGAAAGACAGAGGCTGTTGATTAATACCAAAATCCAATCTCGTCTAGTTTTCACCCACTGCTTATTCCAGACCCAGTAAGTTGCTTGCTTCAGATGAAAATGCTATCTAATGTCAGCATTGAGATCAGCAAAAAGCAAGCAGCTTCTTTGGTGCTACCCTCTGCCCTGGCTGAGCCCAGCTTTCTTCCAGTGCAAGGGGTTTCCCAGACTACTCACCTAGGAGTCCCTCATAGAGGTAGACTCGCTGGCTCACATCTTCAGAAGAGCGAATTGGGCTGCCTGCCAGCTTCTCCTTTACGCTTGGCTTCAAGCTGTGGGCTTTACCCTACAGAGAAGGGGTGATAGGTCAGCTGCCAGAGGTACCAATAAAGAGAAGCAAAGAAAACCAAGCATCTCACTAAGAGGCATGCACACTTATGCACCAGTCACCATCCATTAGCAACATAATCACCAGTACTCCTGATTCTGCTAGTCTGCTTGGTCTAGGATTTGACCAAGTCAACCTGATACTTCTGCTTTCTGTTACTATCTCCTAAACCATGCTATCAAGTTTTCATTTTGATTTACCTTTACTCTTTAGTCCTTATAAAACTATTTTCTCCTTAAGAAAAAAGTCAGCCTAATTCTCCATGTAGTAGCATGACACAGAGGAAAGAACACAGGGTTGGAAGTCGGATTAACCAAGGTTCAGATCCCCACCTCTTATTAGCTGTGTGACCTTAGGCACAAAACTTAGTTTCTATGAGCCTCATTTTCCTCATCTGCAAAAAGAAATTTATAATACCTACCTCATAAGACAAGGACTAAATTTAAAAAATAAAAATAGGCCGGGCGTGGTGGCTCATGCCTGTAGTCCTAGCTCTCTGGGAGGCCGAGGCGGGCGGATTGCTCGAGTTCAGGAGTTCGAAACCAGCCTGAGCAAGAGCGAGACCCCGTCTCTACTATAAATAGAAAGAAATTAATTGGCCAACTAAAAATATATACAAAAAATTAGCCAGGCATGGTGGCGCATGCCTGTAGTCCCAGCTACTCGGGAGGCTGAGGCAGAAGGATCACTTGAGCCCAGGAGTTTGAGGTTGCTGTGAGCTAGGCTGTTGCCACAGCACTCACTCTAGCCTGGGCAACAAAGTCAGACTCTGTCTCAAAAAAAAAAAAAAAAAAAAAGACTTATATACACTTAAAGTAAAGGGATAGAAAAAGATACTCTGTGCAAATGGAAACCAAAAGCAAGCAGGAATAGCTAAACTTATATCAGACAAAACAGACTTTAAATCAAAAACTGTCAAAACAGACAAAAAAGATTATATAATGATAAAAGGATTAATTCAACATGAGGATATAACAATTGTAAATATATATACATACCCAACACCCAACAGATATATAAAGCAAATATTATTAGGTATAAAGGGAGAGATAATCGCTAATAAAAGCTGGGGAATTTAACACCCTGCTCTCAGATCATCTAGACAGAAAACCAAAAAAGAAACATTGGATTTAAACTGTACTTTGGACCAAATAGACTTAATAGACATTTATAGAACATTTTATTCAATAGCTGCAAAATACATGTTTTTTTCATTAGCACGTGGAACATTCTCCAGGATAGACCACATGTTAGACCCCATAAAACAAGTCTTAAGAAATTTTTAAAAAGTGAAATTATATCAAGTATCTTTTCTGCACAATTCTACCAAACATTTAAAGAAGAACTAATACCAATTCTTTCCAAACTCTTCCAGAAAATAGAAGAGGAGGGAATTCTTTCAAACTCATTATTCAAGGCCAGCATTACCCTGATACCAAAACCAAACAATGACACAACAACAACAAAAAAGAAAATTATAGGCCAATATCTCTAATAAAATAAACTGAATCTGGCAGCACATTAAAAAGATCATTTACCATGATCAAGTTGTCCCACTTGATCCCAGAGATACAAGGATGGTTCAACATAAATCAATAAACGTGATACATCACATCAACAAAATGAAGGACAAAAACCATATGATCATCTCAACAGATGCAGAAAAAGCATGTGATAACACTCAACATCCCTTCATGATAAAAACTTTCAACAAGTTAGGTACAGAAGGAACATACCTCAACACAATAATTAAGGTCATATATGACAAACCTACAATAAACATCAAACTAAATGTGGAGGCTGGGCGCGGTGGCTCATGCCTGTAATCCTAGCACTTTGGGAGGCCGAGGCGGGAGGATTGCTTGAGCTCAGGAGTTCAAGACCAGCCTGAGCAAGAGCGAGACCCTGTCTCTACTATAAATAGAAAGGAATTAGCCAAACAATTAAAAATAGAAAAAATTAGCCGGGCGCGGTAGCACGCGCCTGTAGTCCCAGCTACTCGGGAGGCTGAGGCAGGAGGATCACTTGAGCTCAGGAGTTTGAGGTTGCTGTGAGCTAGGCTTATGCCACAGCACTCTAGCCCAGGCAACAGAGTGAGACTCTGTCTCAAACAAAAACAAAAACAAAAAAACTAAATGTGAAAAAGATGAAAGCTTTCCTCTAAGATATGGAACAAGACAAGGATGCCCACTTTCACCACTATTATTCAACATAGTACTGGAAGTCCTACCCAGAGCAATTAGGCAAGAGAAAGAAATAAAGGGCACCCAAACCGGAAAGAAGGAAGTCAAGTTATCCCTGTTTGCACAGACAACACAATCTTACATACAGAAAACCCTAAAAGCTCTATCAAAAAAAAACCAGAATTGGCTGGGCACGGTGGCTCATGCCTGTAATCCTAGCACTCCAGGAGGCTAAAGCAGGAGGATCGCTTGAGATCAGAAGCTGGAGACCAGCTCAAGCAAGAGCAAGACCCTGTCTCCACCAAAAATAGAAAAATTAGTTGGGCATGGTGTGCACCTACAATCCCAGCTACTCAGGAGGCTGAGGCAGGAGGATCGCTTGAGCCCAGGAGTTTGAGGTTGTGGTGAGCTATGATGACGCCACTGCTCTGTAGACAGAGTGAGACTCTGTCTCAAAAAACAAATAAATAAAAAAAAAACAACCTTCAGAACTGATAAGTGAATTCAGTTAATTGGCAGGATATAAAATTGTCATATAAAAATCAGTAGCATTTCTATACACCAACAATGAATTGGTGGAAAAAGAAATCAAGAAAGCAATCCCATTTACAATAGCTATAAAAAAGAAAAAATAACCAGGAATAAATTTAAGGAGGTAAAAGATCTCTACAAGGTAAATATGAAACACTGATGAAAGAAATTGAAGGAAGCACAAAAAAAATGTACAGATACCCCATGTTCATGGCTTGGAAGAATTAATATTGTGAAAATGACCATACTACCAAAAGTGATCTATAAATTCAATGCAATCCCTATCAAAATACCAATGATAGGCCAGGCGTGGTGGCTCATGCCTGTAATCCTAGCACTCTGGGAGGCCGTGGTGGGCGGATCGCTCGAAGTCAGGAGTTCGAAACCAGCCTGAGCAAGAGCGAGACCCCGTCTCTACTATAAATAGAAAGAAATTAATTGGCCAACTAAATATATACAGAAAAAAATTAGCTGGGCATGGTGGTACATGCCTGTAGTCCCAGCTACTTGGGAGGCTGAGGCAGAAGGACTGCTTGAACCCAGGAGTTTGAGGTTGCTGTGAGCTAAGCTGATGCCACGGCACTCACTCTAGCCTGGGCGACAAAGCAAAACTCTGTCTCAAAAAAAAAAAAACAAAAAAACAAAACAATGATATTCATTTTGTGAGGGAAATAAAAATTAATCCCAAATGACTCTCTTATAAACTATTTGTAAATGTCATTTATTCATTAGTTTTTGACTTAATTTTTAAAATATTTATTTTGAATCAACTCTTTTATTACAAAAGGCTTGAGGTCTTATCCCTCCCATATAAGACCCAATACATTGTCAGCACAAAGAAAAACTAAATAAATAAAAGAGCCTGGTTAGACTCAAAGAACAGTTAAGGCTCATTAACTTGAGTAGTCTTATTGACTCTCAATCCTCTTCCCAACCTTCACTCTGGGAGGTCACTGGCTCCATTAGAAACATACATGCAAAAGGCCCTGGAGGTAGGAATGATCACTAGTGTTAAATAATTGATTTTATTTAAATTCTATCTTCCATTCTCCCCACAGACCAAAGAGAAGGACCTTTGAGCTCTTGCAAAGAAAATCCATTCTCATCTCTCATAAAGTGGCAAGGGTTTCAGACTGTTTTAATACTGTCTGAAGATGCACATACATACATACTGAAAAGCAGTGTGTCTAAAGCAAGAACTAAAAAGAATTCATCTCATTCCAATGGATCACGGGCTTATTGTGTAATCTAAGGAAGACTTTTTTCCTTAAGGCTTCGTTCCCTCACCTATTAGAAGAGACCATTCATAGCAATATGCTGAATTGCAAACTTCCTAAAAGTGGGAATCATGCCTTATTCATCCCTATTTCTTTAGTACAGAATCTGGTACTTAGTAAATCACAGATGTTTATTAATGAATGAAAACTTCAAATAACTGTTAGGAATATTCTAAAATAAAATGCTATTTTAAGGTGCTATATAAATAGAGCAGTGACCAGAATAACACTGGACTATTTCACAGAAATAGGTAGACTAGCACTAAATGAGAGCTATAATTGCCCTGACATTGCCAAAAAGGTATTGCTTTGTCTGTTTTAAACTTGGGGTTTATTACTTCATATGATTGGAAACTCTTATCTGACTGGGCAGGAAGCCTAACTCATCAATGATTCAAGAGAGGGTTCTAAAAGTACAGATCACGGAGTCAAATGACTCTGAAAAAATCCTTAAGAAACATTTCCTTAAAGCCAAATATATGAGGATTATCTATTCCTTATTTAGCCCTTCTCACTTATCATCTCTTAACTTTTCATTCACTTCTAATCCACTTCCCTCCCCCATTAAAGTAATGGTCTTCTTTTGGTAGTAAACAAAGCTTACAAAGATGGTGCTTGTGGCAGAGTTGGTCTCAATTTCACTATCAGACAAAGTGCCCCGAGAGCCTGCCAAGTGGGCACCGCCCTCGCCACCTGGTCCATCACCTGCATTGCTACTCAGGTCACTGTCTGCTCCAAGGGTCTCTCCAGAACTATTACTCACCTGGAAAGGAAAAAAGGTAGTATGAGAGATTCCCCAGGGATGGGCCCCAGAAATGCCAAGCTGTTAGAGATTTTTGCTACCACACACAAAAAAATCAAATTTCAAAGGTGTGTCAGATAGTCTCCAGAAGTACCTTCTTTATAAGATGAGGAGAAGCTCTGGGTGAAATCTCATGTATACACACCTATGACAGGTAAACATCTCCACCAGGAGAACCATGTTAACCTGAGACTAAGAACAGCCTCCAGAGAGAAAGTAGCTCCCTTTTCCAAAGAGGATGTCCATATCCCACCCACCAACATGCCAGTGTGGTGTTCCCCTACCACGGTGCTAACTTCAGAATCCTGACTTGAGCTGCGGATCATAACAGCTGGACTCACACCAAGGACAGAGTCTTGATCGGTCCTCTGAAACAAGACACAGGGACACAGACGCATTAGGGGAAGTGTTCAGTCCTCTCAGTTTCCCTCAGAAATACTGTACCTTCTTCTTTCTCTCTATCCCCACCCTTCTGTTATCATCCCTAAAGAGGTCATGAGCAATTAATTTTTCCTGAATATAAAATATGTATGACTTATGTAATAAAAAAGAAATAATACACATGAAAGAAATACATGCTCACTATAGAAAATACATGAAGAAATAAGAATAAGCTATAAATCTACCACCCACATTAACCATTGTTTTTAGTGTATTTCCTTTAAGTCTTTTCTAAATATGTTTAGAAAATAAAATTGGAATCATACCGTAGATAGCTTTATAAACATTTTCCTATGTCACTAAATTTTTGAAAACACAATCTTTAATGGATACTAATATTGCATCACATGGATGTATTATACTTATTTAATCATTCCCCTATTATTGGATATTTATGTTATTTTGAGGTTGTTGTTTCATTTTGTGTTTGTTTTTTTTTTTAACTTAAAGAAATATTCTGAGATAGCACATTTAATCCTTACAATTTTCAACAAGGTTGTCACAAACCTGGGAACTAGATGTCAGGCTCACACCACTGTCTGCGCTGATCTGGGACTTTTTCTCTTCTGTCTCACCAAGGTCAAAGACAGGTTTGAGTACTTCAGGCCCTGAGTAGGGGAAGACTTTAGTTACTCAGTACACAAAGGCAAGGGGCAGGCTGGTGAAGGGAATGGGACAGTAGCACAGCCTGGTCCCAGACCTGTTCGGCCCATCCCAGTCACCTTTCCAGGGACTGCCCCCCACTCAGGACCCACTGGAAGAAGAGGTCACCAGATGCCTTAAGAACCAAGTAGGACAAACTGGACCTGGTCTCAAAGGTTCTAAAGCCATCTTCTCAACCTGAGAAAATTCTGAGCAAATCATCTTAAAACAGAAAAGCTGGCCGGGCGCTGTGGCTCACGCCTGTAATCCTAGCTCTTGGGAGGCCGAGGCGGGCGGATTGCTCAAGGTCAGGAGTTCAAAACCAGCCTGAGCAAGAGCGAGACCCCGTCTCTACTATAAATAGAAAGAAATTAATTGACCAACTGATATATATAGAAAAAATTAGCCGGGCATGGTGGCGCATGCCTGTAGTCCCAGCTACCCGGGAGGCTGAGGCAGAAGGATCACTTGAGCCCAGGAGTTTGAGGTTGCTGTGAGCTAGGCTGTTGCCACAGCACTCACTCTAGCCTGGGCAACAAAGTCAGACTCTGTCTCAAAAAAAAAAAAAAAAAAAAAGACTTATATACACTTAAAGTAAAGGGATAGAAAAAGATACTCTGTGCAAATGGAAACCAAAAGCAAGCAGGAATAGCTAAACTTATATCAGACAAAACAGACTTTAAATCAAAAACTGTCAAAACAGACAAAAAAGATTATATAATGATAAAAGGATTAATTCAACATGAGGATATAACAATTGTAAATATATATACATACCCAACACCCAACAGATATATAAAGCAAATATTATTAGGTATAAAGGGAGAGATAATCGCTAATAAAAGCTGGGGAATTTAACACCCTGCTCTCAGATCATCTAGACAGAAAACCAAAAAAGAAACATTGGATTTAAACTGTACTTTGGACCAAATAGACTTAATAGACATTTATAGAACATTTTATTCAATAGCTGCAAAATACATGTTTTTTTCATTAGCACGTGGAACATTCTCCAGGATAGACCACATGTTAGACCCCATAAAACAAGTCTTAAGAAATTTTTAAAAAGTGAAATTATATCAAGTATCTTTTCTGCACAATTCTACCAAACATTTAAAGAAGAACTAATACCAATTCTTTCCAAACTCTTCCAGAAAATAGAAGAGGAGGGAATTCTTTCAAACTCATTATTCAAGGCCAGCATTACCCTGATACCAAAACCAAACAATGACACAACAACAACAAAAAAGAAAATTATAGGCCAATATCTCTAATAAAATAAACTGAATCTGGCAGCACATTAAAAAGATCATTTACCATGATCAAGTTGTCCCACTTGATCCCAGAGATACAAGGATGGTTCAACATAAATCAATAAACGTGATACATCACATCAACAAAATGAAGGACAAAAACCATATGATCATCTCAACAGATGCAGAAAAAGCATGTGATAACACTCAACATCCCTTCATGATAAAAACTTTCAACAAGTTAGGTACAGAAGGAACATACCTCAACACAATAATTAAGGTCATATATGACAAACCTACAATAAACATCAAACTAAATGTGGAGGCTGGGCGCGGTGGCTCATGCCTGTAATCCTAGCACTTTGGGAGGCCGAGGCGGGAGGATTGCTTGAGCTCAGGAGTTCAAGACCAGCCTGAGCAAGAGCGAGACCCTGTCTCTACTATAAATAGAAAGGAATTAGCCAAACAATTAAAAATAGAAAAAATTAGCCGGGCGCGGTAGCACGCGCCTGTAGTCCCAGCTACTCGGGAGGCTGAGGCAGGAGGATCACTTGAGCTCAGGAGTTTGAGGTTGCTGTGAGCTAGGCTTATGCCACAGCACTCTAGCCCAGGCAACAGAGTGAGACTCTGTCTCAAAAAAAAAAAAATAAAAAAATAAAAATAAAAATAAAAATAAAGTACTTAACAGTGCCTGGCAAATGGCTGGTAATTGATAAATGTTAATTTCCTCTTTCCTATCATCTCTTACTGCCCCTGGGAAATATTACTAACTTTATCTGCCACTTCTGCAGTATTAGACTTTCTATACCTCAAAACAAGATTGTCAACTAGGTAAGAAGTAGGTAATATCACATTTCATGACACATGGAACAGAATAAGCAGAGAAGCAAAGGTTATTAGGCAAAACCTAATTAGTGTAACTCAATGCCAGTCACCTGGTTCACAGCCTGATACTTTATTCAATGGACCATACTGACTTAATATCATTTATTTCCTGTTAAAACAGCCTTTTTTGAGCCAAGAAATTCGGGGAACTACTCTCAGCAACTCAACTGTACAAAGAGCCCTTGCCCACTAGCACAGGACAAGTACAAATCTATCCCAAGAAGTTTCCAGGAAAGGTAGCACACAGCTGAATGGCTTCTTACAAGACCGATACTCCACCATACTTATCCTGGCATCCAGAATAGAAGCACACTGGAATAAGTTTAAATGTACTTATTAGAATGGACTATTTAGAGGAGTGACATCAGCAAGGTGGCCCTCTAGAAGCCCCTAGTGCTTGTCCCCCTCACAAAGACAGCCACAACAATGAATAAACAATTACATTTTAACCAAAAAGCTGAATGAGAGTGCTGTAGTGCATCAGAGGAGTAACAGAAACCCTGGTGAGCACAGAAACTCAGGATGACCAGTTTAAGAACGGAAGGACATCAAAGTTGCAGAGTCTCATAAAAAGAAAAAAAAAATAAAAAAAAAAAGAACGGAAGGACACACCAGGCTTCCACTGCCCCATCCTGTAATCAGGATCAGCTGGGAACAAGGATGAACTACTTCCTACAGCAAGGAGGTAAGCAAGGGGATCCCTGCAACCACCAACAGCTTGGACACCACTGCTAATTGCCTGACATGCCCAAGCCAAGCTGTGAGCAGCTGTTACACCCTTCTGCATGGATCCAAGCAGAGGTAGAGTTGCTCCTCCTACCCCAACCCCCACAGGAAGCAGTACCCTATCTATTGGGAAAAAACAGTACCTTGGCCACTAACTACAGCCACGCCTCCCCAGTGCCTAAGTTGAGGCAGCAACCTCCCAGGAAACAGTGCCTTGGCAGCCCAGGGCGGTCATGTACCCCCAGTACCTAAGCTGAAGTGGTGCCCTGTATCCCAGGGAAACAGTGCCTGAGCTGAACAGAAGAGTTATAACTCCCCATCAAGCCTGAGGTGAATTGGTACACTGCCCCCAAGGGAATCAGTGCCCTGGCCAAACTGAGTAGCTGTGCATTCCAGGGCTGAGCTGATTGAGTACCCTGTGTCCCAGGGAAATGGAGCAGTGGCTGAACTGAGACATCCCAACCCTACAGGTCAAATTCCAGTACCCCACTTTGCTGGAGCTGTACTAGGCCCCTAGAGTCTGAATTGCTGAGATAAAATTGCTGAATTGCCTTAGACCCTAGGGAGAGGTGTCATTACTGTGCTGCTACCTGATGCCCCAGGGCCCAAATGACAGCTGTGATCTGCCCTTCTGGGGTATTTATTGCCCTTGCACCTGACCTGATAGAACTCTGGGATACTGCCAAGCCCCACTATTCCAGGGTCTAGAGTCACTACCACTTGGTGCCTTCCTCCCATGGAAGCTGAGCTGCCATCCCAGGAAACCTATTGGCTCTGGTTTCAAGTGTAGCTGTACCCTGCTCCCCAGGCCCAAACCTCTGGAGTACCCCTTCTTCCCCAGAGTAGGGCCAGTGCAGTGTTCTGCCCCCCAGCTATGACCCAGCCCTCAGGAGTGCTCAGAGTCACATATACTGGCTCTATGGGTAACCCACATCCAACCTTGCCACAGAGACCTTGCACACAAAGATCCAGGTGCCACAGATTTGTGAGACCATAAACCTAGAACCCCAGCCCCACAGCTGCTCTGAGCACCTGCACCTGGAACCCAGGACTGCTGCAGCTGCTTGTAGCCCATGTCAGACCTGACATCAAAAGGAATCCCCTTGGCTTAATCTCCCCATTGTGAGGAAAATGAGAATAGGATGATCTCCAAAGCTCTTGGCACCAAGGACATTAACAACTTATATGGAAATGCCACAAACTTCTATAGCTTAGGTCACTGAAGCGCCCACAGTTATTGTTAATGTTGAACATAGCTGGAGAAGCTGCAGGGAGACTATACCACTGAACCTATCCAGAAACAGTCACCACACTCTTCCCAGCCAGCACACTAAAACCCAACTGTAGGTGAAAGTCTTTCTCTGCAAGGCCACTCTAGAAAGTCTGGAAGAGGGACTGTCCCACCAGATGCATGGACATCAACGCAGGGACACAAGAACATGAAAAAGCAAGGACATATGACATCACCAAAGGAACATCATAACTTTCTATTAACAGACCCCAATGAAAAAGAAATTAATGAATTGCCAGAAAAGGAATTCAAAATAATGATCTTAAGGAAAAAAACCTTGCAGCCAAGAACACTATACCTAGCAAAACTATCCTTCAAAAATAAGGGACAAATAAAGTCTTTTCCAGAGAAGCAAAAAGTGAAGTAATTCATCACACTAGGCAGGCCTTACAAGAAATGCTCAAAGGAGTCCTACATCTGGAAGTAAAAGACAATAACCACTATCATGAAAACAAACAAAAGTATAAATCTCACTGGTAGAGCAGATATACACAGGAGAAAAAGAAAACAATCAAGCTTTATCACTACAGAAAAACACTAAACCACAGTGATAGGCAAGAAGGAACAAAGGATATAAAAAGTAGACAGAAAACAATAAAATGACAGGCCAGGAGTGGTGGCACAAGCCTGTAATCTCAGCACCGTGGAGGCCAAGGAGGAGGATCACTTGAGGCCAGGAGTTCGAGACTAGTATGGGCAACATAGTGAGACTCCAATTCTTCAAAAAATATAGCCAGGTGTGATGGTACATGCCTATAGTCCCAGCTACTCAGAAGGCTGAGGCAGGAAGATCTTTCTCTTGAGCCTAGGAATGCAAGGCTACAGTGAGATATGACAGTACAACTGCACTCCAGCCTCCATGATAGAGAGAGACCCTGTCTCTAAAAATTAAATTTCCAAAATAATAATAAAATGACAGGAGTAAGTTCTCACCTATCAATAATAACCTGAATGTAAATGAATTAAATTCCCCACTTAAAAGATACAGACTGGCTGAATGGATAATAAAACATGACTCAAATATATGCTGCCTACAAGAAACTCATTTCACCAGTAAAGGCACACTAGACTAGGCCAGGTGTAGTGGCTTATGCCTCTATCCCAGCACTTTGGAAGGCTAGGGTGGAAGGATTGCTTGAGGTCAGGAGTTCGAGACAAGCTTAGACAACATAGTGAGACTTCGTCTCTACAAAAAAAAAATAGATGCCAGACATGGTGGCTCATGCCTGTAATCCTAGCACTGGAGGAGGCCAAGGCAGAAGGATTGCTTGAAGTCAGGAGTTCAAAACCAGCCTGAGCAAGAGTGAGACCCTGTCTCTACATAAAAAAAAAAAAAAAGAAAAAGAAAGAAAGAAAAGAAAAATTAGCTAGGCCTAATTGTATGTGCCTATAGTCCTAGCTACTCAGGATGAGGCAGGAGGATTGCTTCAACCCAGGAGTTTGAGGCTGCAGTGAGCAATGATCGTACTACTTCAACCTGGGTGACAGAGAGACTCCCTGTCTCTTAAAAAAAAAAAAAAAAAAAATTTGCTACCACACACAAAAAAATCAAATTTCAAGGTGTGTCAGATAGTCTCCAGAAGTACCTTCCTTTATAAGATGAGGAGAAGCTCTGGGTGAAATCTCATGTATACACACCTATGACAGGTAAACATCTCCACAGTGAAACATGTTAACCTGAGACTAAGAACAGCCTCCAGAGAGAAGTAGCTCCCTTTTCAAAGAGGATGTCCATATCCCACCCACAACATGCCAGTGTGGTGTTCCCCTACCCGGTGCTAACTCAGAATCCTGACTTGAGCTGCGGATCATAACAGCTGGACTCACACCAAGGGACAGAGTCTTGATCGGTCCTCTGAAACAAGACACAGGGACACAGACGCATTAGGGAAGTGTTCAGTCCCTCTCAGTTTCCCTCAGAAATACTGTACTCTTCTTTTCTCTCTATCCCCACCCTTCTGTTATCATCCCTAAAGAGCTATGAGCAAGGCCGGGCGCTGTGGCTCACGCCTGTAATCCTAGCTCTTGGGAGGCGAGGCGGGCGATTGCTCAAGGTCAGGAGTTCGAAACCAGCCTGAGCAAGAGCGAAGACCCGTCTCTACTATAAATAGAAAGAAATTAATTGGCCACTGATATATATTTAAAAAATTAGCCGGGCATGGTGGCGCATGCCTTAGTCCCAGCTACTCGGGAAGGCTGAGGCAGAAGGATCACTCAAGCCAGGAGTTTGAGGTTGCTGTGAGCTAGGCTGACGCCACGGCACGCTCACTCTAGCCTGTGCAACAAAGTGAGACTCTGTCTCAAAAAAAAAAAAAAAAAAAAAAAAAAAAAAAAAAAAGAGGTCATGAGCATTATTTTTCCTGAATATAAAATATGTATGACTTATGTAATAAAAAAGAAAATAATCCCATGAAAGAAATACATGCTCACGTAGAAAATACATGAAGAAATAAGAATAAGCTATAAATCTACCACCCACATTAACCATTGTTTTTAGTGTATTTCCTTTAAGATCTTTTCTAAATATGTTTAGAAAATAAAATTGGAATCATACCGTAGATAACTTTATAAACATTTTCCTATGTCACTAAATTTTTGAAAACACAATCTTTAATGGATACTAATATTGCATACATGGATGTATTATACTTATTTAATCATTCCCTATTATTGGATATTTATGTTATTTTGAGGTTGTTGTTTCATTTTGTGTTTTTTTTTTTTTAACTTAAGAATATTCGAGATAGCACATTTAATCCTTACATTTTCAACAAGGTTGTCACAAACCTGGGAACTAGATGTCAGGCTCACACCACTGTCTGCGCTGATCTGGGACTTTTTCTCTTCTGTCTCACCAAGGTCAAAGACAGGTTTGAGTACTTCAGCCCTGAGTAGGGGAAGACTTTAGTTACTCAGTACACAAGGCAAGGGCAGGCTGGTGAAGGGAATGGGACAGTAGACAGCCTGGTCCCAGACCTGTCGGCCCATCCCAGTCACCTTTCCAGGGACTGCCCCCACTCAGGACCCACTGGAAGAAGAGGTCACCAGATGCCTTAAGAACCAAGTAGGACAAACTGGACCTGGTCTCAAAGGTTCTAAAGCCATCTTCTCAACCTGAGAAAATTCTGAGCAAATCATCTTAAACAGAAAGTC